ATCCAAAACACACCAAGCAAACATCTTCTTAACAAAATCACACGAAGAATCAATTATGTACAAAAGATGAAGCCCATTACATTTCTCGTGCCTCTAATTACCGTAGCAGTCATTCTGTCCTCTGTCAGTGCTAATCCCTACGGTGGGTGGCAGCCGATAAAGAACATACACACCTATCGCGTCTAGGAGATTGCCAAGTTTGCAGTAGGAATGCACAACTTGGAAAATGATTTCAAACATCATTTGAGAGTCGCAAGCATTCAGAGGGCCTCTTCCAGGTGGTGTACGGCGTGAACTACCAGCTCGACGTGATGGTGGTTGGAGACAACACACTCGACTCCAAGGGGAGTATGTACCGAACGGAAGTTCATGAGGCTTGGCGTACTAGAGCTCAAGTTTTTCACACCTATATATGAGGGGTTAAATTAAAATCAATCATGAACAATAATTTAGCCTTCTTTGTTTTAATTAGTATGTTTTTCATATGTTAGCCTGATTAATAATTAGGGATAACATAAGCTTTGTTGGTTATCTAGTGATGTTATTGGGTCATTGTGTCCTTTTATCATAAGTACAATTTTGTTTTAATTGCTAGTGTCTCCATTTTAATTTCGAAAAATCTTTTTGCTAGATATTGTTATATTGCACCAAATATCATGAAAGAATAGCTCCTTCTGCCAACATATGACTTTAATATAACAAAAATTAGGAGTTTGAAGCCGCGCTACGCTGCGGCATTGAGGGGCTTTTGTTTTGTTGTTGCAATCCCATGTTCATTTGTATCCACATACAACTTTGTTCTTTAATGCTTCTAGTCAATAAATTTTAACCCCAGGCCCCAGTCCATAAAAAATGAACAAAACCCACTTCCCTGTTAAATATTAATCCGATGGAGGAGATTGTACAGACACAATAAAGAAAGCCCATCTACACCCTACCCCTGTCGCCGTCCAACCATTAGTTCAATCTTCAATAAGTTCTCAAATGCAGAGGTCATACTCTCCATCGACCTTTGTTTGCGTTGAAGTCACCGATAGTACCGCCACCGCCACAAATCTGGCGTTCGATTCTTATTTATTTTGTGGCGAGTTGAGCGTCAATCTCAGCCTCTGCCACTATGCTCTTATTTCAGCCATTCTGTAGCCGATACTCCCAACGTGTAGCGCTGAATTATCCCTCCTAAAATCATATATCTGTAGCACAATCATCTATGTCGCCTCAGTTGCAACTTTGGTGACTGTCTTAACTCACAAAATGATGCTCCAAAATCTTTGATTCGAAGTTGGAAATCATACATCACGACTCTGGCCATTGTGTGGTGGTTCTTGGCGAACTATAAGTTAGTAGATGGAGAAGATGTTCATGTCCACTGCTGATTCAATAAATCAAGTCAACCAAACTGAAGAAGACAGTGCAATAAAAGCCAACGCAACCTCCAAAATGTATACCTTGCTTCATATCCCTGTCTTAGTTAGATTCATTTCTCTATAGAGGATGGGAGGGGAAAACTCCGGAGACAAAAATAATAAGGAAGCTGGGCAAACAGGTTTACCGTTAACTTGAATTGGTAATTTTTATTTTATTTCCCCCTAGATTACTTGTCCAATTTCCAAATCTCAACCAGAAATCCAATTGTCGGATCGTTTTCCATGGTTGTTATCTAAATCAGTGAATCCATCATTGTTTGCATGCTTATAGGGATCAAATCCTCCCTAAAGGAGATCGATGCTTTCAAATCACTAAATCTATCGTCATTTCCTTTCTGCATATGCATTCTACGGATCCAATCCATCTGCCCACGTGTATCGGGTAATCCATGTTTTTATGAACTCAATTCAAATCGAAGCGGGTGCTTTCTAGATAAAAGACGTGGACTATGGCATCGGAGTGAGAAATCAAACAATTTCATTCCATCTCCTTTCCAGAAGTTGAAGAGAAATTTTCTTGTTAGAAGGCAACGGTATGTGGCCATGGAAGATTGGATCTGAAACGTCGCAGAAGAGATTATGCAGATGACAAACTACAGGAGAATGACGACATGCAGTTGGACAGTGGATCTGATGGCGTAGTTGTAACTGAGGCTACATAGATTTGGAACTCGGTGAGCTCATGGTGGACTACGCTTTGGGAGTTCTAGTTGTGTTCTTGCGGAACCAACGGCGTGTTCGCCCCCAGAATCGCCCTCGGACGACTATCAATGGATCGCCTCTTAGGATCCATTTGACAAACCGGTTGGACAGGGCGGTGTCCTTCGCGTTGCATCCGAACAGGAGCTCTAGGGATTTCGTTCTCCAATACGGTGGTGGCTACGCAGCCAAACAATGCCGCTCCAAATTTAGGAGTGGTAAAAGGAAACTCGAAACCTATCGGACGATTGAAACGAGTGTCGGTGGTTTATCTAAAAGTAAGCGTTCGTTTAGGGTCTCCGGCTGGAGCTTCAAGCTTCCATCCTCAATGGAGAATGGAGATGGACGACGATGATGATCAAGTTCCATCTTCGACACCCGGGGTTTTCAAAGAGGGATCGCTCAGGCCTTCCACTACGATGGATTCAAAGAATTCGTATGTGGGCGGTCGTGCCACTGATGAAGACGACACCCGACGTCGGAATTGGACGCTCGATACCGGTGGCCGGAAAAATCAGTACTGCGATACGCCGTGTTTTCGGATGGGTCAATTGCCCCTGCAAGGGGGATCTTTTGCGATTATTTATAACGTCCCTGAGCCCATATCCCGGGAATAGTGGATTATCCCCTTTTTTTTTACTAATATTCTTTTTCCATTAAAGAATCCTAGTACCATAATTATTCCTACTAGCTTATCCCGAGTCGGAGATCAAAGCCCTGGAGATGCGTTTACCCAGCTATTTAAACCCCTGATTCTTAGACGGGAAAAAATCTCACTGTACACATGTTGTTAAAAAAATTCTCAAAATACATAAGTTATAAAAAAATTTCCAAAATACACATGTTTGGCATTCACTGTTTTTGACAAACGCAGTGAAGATTTTCACCGTTTTTCTCTAAAACGGTGAACTATTAGCGAGTCAATCACCATTTTAGAGGCAAACGGTGAATATATCACCGTTTTAATCAAAAGCGGTGAAGTTTAAACCGCTGCTGTGGGCCACGATGAAGCGACGCGGATCGCTGACGTGGACAATCGCAGTGTATTCACCGCGTTAGACAAACACGATGAATACCCCGTGTTTGTTTGCGTCAGCGATCCGCATCGCTGACACACAAACACGATGAATACCCCGTGTTTGTTTGCGTCAGCGATCCGCATCGCTGACACACTCACCATGGCCGTTGGATGCGATGAGGCGCGGATCGTGGTTTTCTTCCCAGATCCGACGCCACCACTTTTACAATTCTTTCTCCCTCAATCTATCCGCTCTAGTCTCGTTCTAAGTATGCTCTGTGGTTGCGGCTAAGTCTGATCTTCCACATCAGAAAGAATTACTAGAGTTTGACCCTGAAGCCCCCGTCCCGCTAAGCTCCCGTCCCTTACAAACCCGAACCCGTCGAACCTCTGTCCGGCTTCTGCCAAAAAATGGACGAAGAGGCTCTTCGTGTAGGTTTTTTTTTTGTGTTTTTATTTTCAATCGAAAAAATTTGATTTTGTGATTTTTTTAATCAAAACAATCTCTGATTTCGTTACTTTTTTATAGATAGGTGCCGAGATATACGATCCTCGATTGTATATCCATTATGGGCCAAGAGATATGAGACTCTTAACCGATCAAGAAGCTCATCGCTCCCGATCACGAAAATATTAACCCTTTATTTTATTATTTTCTAATGTTTTATTTTGCTTTATTTAAACTAACAAATTGATGTTTTTCCTATTTTTTTGAAGGAATCACTTATTCCCGTCGTTCATAAAGGGACCAAGTAAAAAAACACTACATCCCTAGGCTTTGGTCTCACACTACACCGAGTAAAAAAACACTTGCTGGATCAAGGACACTAGCCGAGCTTTGCATCCCACGGCGTTTCCTAATCACATGTAAGCCTTCCCTCTCACTTCTGTCGTTCCGACGTATTTACATTGGGTTTAACCCTCCTCCTACTTCCTTGACGATGGCGCCCATGCATGCCATGTTCATTGGAGGATTGGCAGAGAATGGTCCGCCACCGATTAAGGTGGAGCAGCCTCCTGTTATTTTTATTGCTCCTCTCCAGGACCCTACGATGGCGCACTTAACCTCCGATCAGGTCATTGAGTTTTCAATGGAAGAGGTGCAGTTAAGCAAGTATCGTGCGACCTACTCACTGATCGGACGCCTCTTCACGGAGAGTCGAGTGAACATGAAAGAAATCAGGGACGCTCTTGTCTCGCCCTGGAAAGTGAAGGGGAGATTGAAAGTGACTGTGACAAAACACGACCTGCTGGAGCTCACTTTGCCGTCCGAAGAGGCCAAGTCTTGGGTGCTCAAAAGGATGCCATGGGTGGTGACTGACAGGATCTTGCATTTGCGGTCATGGTCCCCGGCCATCTCGAAGCAAATTTTTGATGACTTGGCTATGGTCCATATGCGCGTCTAGTTTTGGAACGTCAAGGAATATTGTTGCACCCACCAATTTGGGAGGAAGATGGCGGAAAACACTCTAGGCCAGGTTTTGGAAGCAGGCGTCTTCGGTAGTCACGAGACTGAGGAGTACTTTGTGAAAGTTCGCACGGTGTTGGATCTCATGAAGCCGTTATGCTCCCAAATCATGGCTACTAGCAATGACACAGGTGGCTTCTTGGTGAATTTCGAATACGAGTACCTCCCATTCTTTTGCTACCGTTGCGGTCGTGTGGGTCACCCAATTTGTACCTCTGCTTACGACCCACCGATGAGAAGGGAAAGGTTCGGACCCCATATGTCCACCAAAAAATTGGGAACCAGAGTTTATGATGCGGACGAAGGATCCCACCAATTTAGGAGAAATCCGAAGACGATGTAGATTAACCAGGACCTTCGGGCTCGACAAGATACTCAGAATAATACCCGTGCGCGCCCGATGGAGATTGATGACGATCGCGAGCATCAAATCCTCGCTGTTGGATACAAGGAGCCGGTTGCTCCTTCTCACCGTCGGAAATGACACACATGCAGTCCGCACCGGTTCCCTATGAACAAATCGCCGAGAATAAAAATGGGACGGGGAGCATCCAATCGTATACCTCAGAAGGGTAGATCCGTCTTCGGTCGTGCTCAACCCGCCCATGCGCACAATGAGGAGACCGAGGTTGATGATGGGATGGAGCCGGTGTCCACGGATCAAAAGGAATCGGCACATTGTATGAAGCAGGAACCCAGCATCACTGTCCAGGAGGGACGAGATGAGGCCCAACTAGTCCTGGCCTCCCTGCCTCCATCGGGCCACCAGGAACCCAGACGTCGCCGGAAGCTAATCATTGATGACTCGGAGGAGGAAAGTCCACGGCGGTCGCTTCCCGGGCAGTCCAAGCAGCTGGTTAAGAAGGGGGTAGCGAAGAAGGGACGCGGGCTAATAAAGGTTTCTGAGAAATCTCAGCTCGATGGGGGAGAGGGCCCTTTGAGGGCAGTAGCTCGCTTTTCCTCTCGGCGTCGCGGTGTTGGAAGAAAGAAGCAGGATAGGGATGCCCCTCCAAACCTGCAGTTGCGTGATGTTGACACGGTGGAGGAGTGAGAGCAGGCGTTGTCGGAGGAATGTTTGCTCAAGGAAACTTGTCCTGCTCCGCCCCATAAAACTGGGTACTCCTCTAACCTCGTGGAGGAAGCTGCTGACTCGGACACTTCCCTCTCGGAAGCGGGGGGGATCCATGCTTTGAGCTGAAGAGTCGTGCGCTGCTGCCAGACCTGGCTCGGGGGCCTCGGTCCATTGGTGGTCGAGTTCAACAGGTTGTGGCATCTTTTGAGACAGGGATGTCGATTAATGCTGATGATCAACTGGTTGCGGCGGGGTTGGAGAGAGATTGGAAATGCCAAGGGGAGGAGACGGATGTTACAAATCCGATTGATGAGTATGGCTCCAATCTCCAGGATCTGGCTCCTGCGAATCATAAGCGCTTTTTTGATGAGCTTGAAGGGGAGCTAGGGGAGAACCCCACTCCCAAAAAACAATTTATGAAGGTGGAGGAAGTCAACCTAAAATGGCCCCAAGCGAATAAATGAGGCTACATGCCTGGAACGTGAGAGGAATTGGGCCATAACTCACGTTCCAAACAGTTGTCAGTTTAGTTCATTCTAATAAACCGGACCTTGTTTTCTTTTCGAAACAAGATCGAGCCGGAGGCGGGTTTCCCGCCGTATGCGGGGAGTAGGGTTTGATAATTCGCATTCTTTCTTTGTTGATGTTGTCAATGCATCTGGTGGTCTTGTCTTAGTTTGGGCCCCAGAAGTTAACACTTTGATTTTTTCCATTCCGACTTCTGTATTTGTACGCAGATTAATGAAGTGGAATGTTCCTACATTGTGGTTTTTGTTTATATTAGTTGCAATGCCTCTTTAAGAGCCACTCAACTGGCTCAATTGCGGGAAATCAGTGCCACGTTTGACCTTCTGTTTTTGGTCATTGGGGACTTTAATACGACTCTTAATGAATGTGAAAAGGATGGCGGTAGTCATTGGAACGCTACCCAGTCCATCAGTAGCCTGCATGATTTTGTTCAGGACCTTGGGCTCCATGACCCTGGCTACCAAGGTGACCAAATCACTTGGACAAATAAACGTATGGGATCTGCGTGTGTTCGTGAATGTTTGGACAGGGCTCTCTGGTCCCAGCATTGGGTGGATTCATTCCCAGAAACTTTTGTTAAAAATTTTACGGATCAGGGGTCTGATCATCGGGCGTTGCTCCTGTCAGATAAACCCTATATCCAGAACAGTCGCCCTCTTTTCCGATTTGACGCCCGCTGGGCTGGGAATCCGGAAGTTAGGGCGATGGTAAATTATGTCTGGGAGGAACCCGTTCTAGGAACTCCTATGTACCAGCTTTGTGAAAGGCTTAATAAGCTCTGCCACCTGCTGTACGATTGGAGTAGGGCGGGTACTACCAATTTTCTTTGCAACATTAAGACCCTTCAAGTTGAAATTGAGCGTATCAGGGCCATCCACCCTATTGATTGGGATGAGGTGAAAATCCTTGAAGTTGAATTAGCCAGGCAGTGGGAGGCGGAGGAAATTTACTGACAGCAGAAATCTCGTGTCAAATGGTTAAAGAAGGGGGACAAAAACTCTTCGTATTTCCATACAGTCACGAGAACTCGCCGAAAAATAATTTTGTTCATGGACTCCGTAATGATAATGGGGATTGGATCACAGAGGAAACTGGGAAAGTGAACGTTGCTACGTCCTTTTATCACAATCTTCTCACCTCGGAAAACCAGCTGCTCAATGTGACGGATCGGGTCGCTGATCTCCCCATTTCTCATTATGTCACTCTGTATATGAATACCGTGCTTACGGCTGAGGTACTGCCTAGTGAGATTAGAAGTACGGTCTTTTCTATGGGATTGAAGCATGCACCGGGGTCGGACCGGTTCACAGGAAAAAAATTTGAAGCCTTTTGGGATGTGGTGGGAACTTTGGTGATTGAAGCTGTTAGCTCGTTCTTTAGAACAGGCCGGATGCTCCGGATTTTCAATCTTACGTGGTTGACCTTAATCCCAAAGGTGGATAGTGTTGAGACCATGAAAAAGTTGCGGCCGATCAGCCTTTGTCAGTTTGTGTAAAAAATCATCTCTAAGATCATGGCAGAAAGATTGGCTGGTCTTCTGCCCCAGATCATCTCGGAAGGACAAAATGCGTTCATCCGAGAAAGGCAAATCGTCGATAATATTCTCCTGGGGCATGAGTTAAAGCACTATTTGAAAATCAAAGCTCGTGGTAAGAAAGGGTACATGGCTGTAAAGGTTGACAAGGAAAAGGCCTATGATAGAGTCGAATGACCCTTTCTGCAAGCGGTTTTGGAGAAGATGGGCTTTAACTCTGTGTGGAGAGGTTGGATACAGGAATGCCTCCAGTCCGCTTCTTTCTCGGTTCTCATGAATGGCGCCCCATCTGGGTACTTCTTGCCCTCTCGAGGTCTCAGGCAAGGGGATCCGCTTTCTCCCCTTTTGTTTGTCATTTGTACGGAGGGGTTTGCAGCCCTCCCCCGCAACGCAATTGCGGCTGGTAGGTTGGAAGGGGTCAAAGTTTCTCCTCGTGCTCCTCGGATCTCGCACCTCTTTTGCGAATGACTCATATTTATTTATGCGGGGTTCCCTATAGGAGTGTGAGAACATGCTTGAGGTGCTGAGTGAGTATGAGGAACTGAGTGGCCAAAGGGTTAATCTGGCAAAGTCGGTTGTTTGTTTCAGCAAAAATATTACTTTGCTAGATCAGGAGTTTTTGGCTCACATCCTGTGGGTGGGGGCGGTAGGGGCCCATGATAAATACCTGGGATTGCCCTCTTTGATTGAGCGATTGAAAATGGCTACGTTTCGCTATTTAGAGGGAAAACTGCTCGAACGGCTGCAAGGTTGGAAGAAGAGGACTTTGTCTTGGGCTGCTAAGGAGACTTTGATTAAATCAATCGCTTTGGCTTTGCCATTACATATTATGTCATGATTCAACCTGCCTCTCTCTCTCTCTGTCGTCTTCTGGATAAGCATGTGACCCGGTTCTGGTGGGGAAAAGTGGAGGAGGATCACCAGCGGATCCACTGGCTTTGCCATTACATATAACGGTCAATCCAATTTAAAAAATCTTGAAAATTTTGGCTAATAAATTATATTTACCTAAATCCTAGTAGACCCATTGATTATGGATAGGTATGGGTGACGTATATATGGGTTTGAATAGAGTATGGATATTTACCTTCATAATTTAAATGTGTATGAGTTGGGTATTGACATCCATTTATCCGAGGGTGTTTTAAGTACACATACAAAAATTAGACCTATATGTAGACCTTCAAAAGTTTAGGTACTAAACTGTAATAAAAAAAATTAGGTACTAAAATATAATGTTCCATCAATATTTTGAGGACTTATATGCCAAAATATAAATTTAGATAATAAATCTAAAGATCTATTAAGTATAGGTATCCAACTGTAATTTGCATAGTTGAGGATTAACTCCTTTTATGATGATTATTTACACTTTTATAAAAAAAAAAGGAAACTATTTATTTATATGTATAATTGTTGAAAATTCCATGTATAGTTGTTGAAAATTCTAACCTGGGTGAAAAAGAAAAACTCTAAAGAGAAGCTAAAGGAATACAAACTGGAACTCGCTTAAAATTTCATGCCTTCAAATCTCATAGTGGAAAATGACGACTTTCTAATAAATAATATATAACCATATACATTTATTTTTAATTAGATTCGATATTGAGCTGGAAAAATTAGTGGTTCCTGGTTCAATTATTAATTCTCTTGATTGTTGGTCGGTCGTGTATGGACCCGTTCATATTTTTTATTAGAATACATAAAAATAGTATACTAATTAGGGTTAGACGAAGATGGCAAAGAAAGAAATAAAGAAAGGGTTATGGAAGGCAAGTGAAAGATGAAACGAAGAGGAAGTATATGATGTAAAGGTTTTGACCAATTCTTTTAGTTGGTCGTCAATGCAATAATCAACCCTTTTCACCGTAGCAATTTATTGACATTTGCTTATGTAGATGTCGCATATTCTGTTACATGTAGTTAGTAGACGTTTGTTTAGCTATATAATTTTGTACGTATATTAACAAGCAAATTCCTACAATAAGTTGTAACTTGATGTTTTTGACTTGCTATCACACGTTTCACAAGTAAAATACAATTGGCATTATGTAATGGTTGCGTAATGCGTATTTATCTTATGTAATAGTTGAAAAATGTCATCACGAAAACCTTACATAATAGACACTCATTTTACGTAATGAATATTAACCTTTCGCAGCGTAATCTGTTAAACCATTACGGACGACTTGCATAACGCTTCTAATTTAATTGTTACGTAAGAAATAATTAACGTTCTGTAACCTTTACGCAATAGATGCATACTTTACGTAACAGTTGTAAAGTGTCATTACGGAAGCCATACGTAATGGATGGTCCTTTTACGTAATGAATATTAATCAAGTTACGTAATGTGGTAAGTCATTACGGAAGTCTTACGCAACACTTCAAATTTAACTGTTACGTAAGAAATAACCTTCGTTACGTAACCTTTACATAATTAGCGTGTATTTTATGTAACAGTTGTAAAACGTCGTTACGGAAACCTTATGTAATAGACGATGTTTTTACGTAATGAATATTAACCCAAAGGAATGGAAGTAGATCCTATTCTTTGGGAATATATGTTCATTATTTATGATCTACTTCTCGGTTAATATATGCACAAAATCATGCATAAAAAGGAACAAAACTACTTAACTAACTAACTAACGATTTTATACCAAATAAAATCAATGAATTATAATCTAACATACAGTACAAAACAAACACGACTGGTTACAAAGATTACACGATGCCCAATCCATTTGAACAACTTGGTCACCACTCAGATCCTCTCACGGACTCAATTGCTTTCACAACCAAGTCATGGACGCCAAATTGTCCAAACTTTCGCGACTCAAAACAGTGGGTCGAGACCGGCATTATTTCAAAAGTCGTTGAAACATTAAGTACCCTCCCCGACTTTTCCTCTCGACTTTAAAAGGCCACCCCTTTTTGCTCGACTAATACCCACACAAAAAGTAAAAAATGGAGCTCATCACAAGAAGCTTGGCAGCACTGCTGCTTCTAATCTTAGTAGCCATCAGTAGCTCTCCTGCTTCAGTACTGGCTCGCAATCCACTGAAGCAGCAGCAGCAGCAGCCTGCTTCACCAGGCGTTCCCTACTTCCCGTACTACTACTTATACCCACCGCCGCCACCGTTTGCCAAAAGCCGCCTTCAGAAGAAAGGGAAGAAGAACCCTCCTCCGCCGAACCCTATTGTTCCTTACTTCCCTTACCTTGCTACTCCCCCGCCGCCGCCAGTTTATGGGCCTCCAAGGAAAGAGGGGCCGCCGCCCAAGACGGGGAAGGAGCCCTTCCACTAAGCCGGCCGCCACGACGTTCGGTTGTTACCTGGCAACTTCCCCTACGTACCCTCAGACGCCTCCCCCACCGTTATAATTGTATCAAATAATTGTCAGCTTTCCCGTACGTACCTCATATTGTGAACTTGTGTTGCCGTTCTCGTGTCTGTTTTTCGTGATGGATGAAGCTGGGGACTTCATTGAGTCGATATACGATCTCTAAGTTGTAGCAGTACTGGATGAAGTGATTTCTTACGAATAAGAACATATACAATGGAATCTGATTGCATGTGTCGTATAATTCGGCATATAATAGACACAGCCGAATTTCTGTAAATTCAAACCCAACCGAGTAGATACACCCGTAAAAAAATCTAGTCAAATACCAACTGGATTTTACAAGAGGAAACTTAACTCAATGGGTATTCTTTTTTTTTTTTTCAATTGGTGAGATTTTATTCATCAAACTATTGAAGTACAAGCATGGCCTATTACAGCAAAAGGGAGACCAAGTCAAGGATTTGAATCCACTAAGAAGGAAGAGAACCTCTCATAGTTTCTTTTGCAACCCAATCAGCACATTTGTTGTTCCTTCTGTTTGTAAAAGCCACCTTGATATGATCGTTTTGAGAAAGAGTCTGCTTCATACAGTGGATCCAATCATTCACTTGCCATGGCCAAGAACTGCTCCGATCAAGAAGAATGTTGATGATGATTTGACAGTCAGAGAAGATAATCGTAGAGCATACAGAATCTTGAGCCATCTTCAGTGCAACCAATAAAGCCTTCGCTTCCGCGACAATCGCTGATGAACAAAACAGGGTCCCAGCTTTTCCGTCAATCACTTGTCCATGATGGTTACGAACAACAACACCATAAGCCACCACCTGTGATTCCGAGACGAAAGCTCCATCACGGTATATCTCCTGCTGGAAATATATAGGCGGTAGACTACAGATTGTACAGGGTGGAACAGGCTGAGGAGGAGAAGAAGAAGTCGTCGGTGCTTCACAGGAAATCTAATCAGTGAAGGAACTCAACGCCTTGGCAGAGGTTGTTCGAGCATTCCAGAGCGCCCACATGTGCATGCATGTGTATCAATGAGTTCAGAATCCCATAATTTCTTTTGAACACTCACATTGTAAAATTATCAAAACTTTCTCTACAAATATCTCTATGTAGACTAATAACAAATTAACCATATGATTAAGACTATATTTCTATAAATACTATAATGGCTAAACTTTACCCATATCATTCGGCTTAGATACGAAACAACGTCATTGTTTTCAGCTCCGACTCGGGTGGGATGCAGACTTAGACATGACAATGGGTAGATCCATTGGGTAATTTGACCCAAATTTCATTACCCATAAGGGTATTGGGTTGGACCCAAATAGACTCATATACAATTTTAATGATTTTGGGTATGGGGTGGGTTTGAATTGAGTCATATTTGGGTAAATTCATTTGAGTTATACTCAAATGGGTCTAATTGGGCCTGGATGATTATATGCTCGTGAAAAAAATTATCAACTATTCATTAACTACTTTCAACCCAATTATACAAATTTAATGTAGCTATTTACATCTTTCAATTATTTTCATAATAAAAAATAATACAAAAATTACATTAGAATTGGGTACCCATTTTCTTTTTGAACTTCCAATATTATGGATCCAATTTAGACCCAAACTAAACAATTGGATATGAGTATATAAAAAACAAAATTACTTTGAGACCCAACTGCCTGCAGACAGGGTTTAATTTACAAAACACACATTCAAAACAAATCATCATTAATTAATAAAGCAAGTAAAACTTACACCCAACTCAAACACTCTCAATATCAAATTTTATCTGCTTTGATCAATTGATCTGGCCGTCTGATAGGATTTGACTTTTGAGTATCCATGAGCTTGGGCTCAAATATTATCATCGCTACCCGCAGGCTGCAACGAACAAATCTAACAAGATCACCACCGGTTTGATAAATAGGGTCAATGTATGTTGTTGTATGGGCTACTAATGAGCACTTCTACTATGCTATATAGTATTGGTGCTTTAATGTACAACTTAAAGTTGTACCATAACATTAAATGTATAAGTTTAGGTTGTACCATAAAACAATTTGTACTATTATGTTATGGTACAACTTTACAACTTGAAGTTGTACCATCACATAAAGGTACAAGTTCAAGTTGTACCATAAAAGAATTTGTACAAAAAGTATAGGTACAATTTGAAGTTGTACCATAACGTAAATGTACAATTTTAAGTTGTACCATAAAGACAAAACCCTATAGCACTAATACTATATAGCATTGTAAAATTTCTCGCTACTAATTGGGCTAAGAGCCTAAGACTGCAGACGTTTCCTCGGTTAAGAAGAATGAAATAGCTTGGGGATCCATCTGTGTAATCGGTGCTTTTTTTCGGCCCATAATTCGCTCTCATGCAATCTGTTGTACGGTTTTGGACATCCCGGTGTGACGTGGGTGGATTTTATAATGTCAATATGGTACATTCTCAGTTTTAACTTATAGCAGCTTTTGGCAATATACACGATTTTTTAATTTTCTATCATTTGGGTAGGGGAAGAGGGTTAGCAATATACTAACCACTTTTATTATCTTTTATTATAATTTTTGGGCACATTGTGTGGTTAAGCACACAGTGGCACCACCCGTAAGAACCAAGCGTACCAACAAAGAGCTGAACCCACGAGCCTAAAGCATAAGGCGGTCAGAAAATGCACTCGCGAAATAGGAGTCTCAAACGACGTCGTGGGCGGCCTGACGCACAATCACTTCCTAAGCATGGGTTTAGTCAGATCCCATGCCCCAATTTTGTCTAGTGTCACATCACATTGAAAGTCCACCCCCCTAAAATGGAGGCTATAAACAGAGCATTTACTCAAGTGGGTGAGAAATCGGTTTTTTTGTAGCTTTCTTATAGAAACCCGCCCTATTGGGGTTTCCATTATTATATTATGTAGGATAATCATAATTATGGTTGGTAGAGATTTAGTCGAATTAGGATTATTATTAGGGTTTTCCAATATTTCCTATAAGTATGTACTTTGTCATTCATTCAGAATCAATGAAGAAAAGTATTAAGCAAAGTATCCCTCGTAAACCTAATCTCTCTCAACGTCTAATTTCTATTCTCTCCTAATCCAAGGCCTCGGCCGATTCTCGATTCACTATCCATTTCTTTCTCATCTAAATCTCTAATCTTAACCCTAAATCCCTATTTCTTACGCGTAATTGTGGGTGCCGAATATCAGTCCCTAGAATTTCTAGAAGAGGAGTTCTTTCAGTGGTATCAAAGCCTGGTTGTAGGCACTCGTAGCACGGCAACGATCTACGTCGAGCTCTCAGTCAAAGAACTCACAAAGCTTTTGAAGTTAAAGCTGGAGGAGGTGAGGAAGAACGAGGTTGCCTCGTCCCTGCCACTGTTCGGGAACATTGCGGGGCAGCTACACCCAAAGTCGCAGCCGTCACGTCGATGGAGCGGACGAGGGAAGACTCACTGTTGGAGCCAACAAAGGAAGACGCACTGCCATTGTCGAAGCCCGCAGCTGCAGAAATGGATTTTGAAGAATAGTTGGAAAAATATATGATCCCAACCCAGCCGATGTTGACGCCAATCTCGGGAGAAAGCTGGGAGCCACGAGCCGTGAAAGAAGTTCCAACTCCACCAACTACCGCCGTGATTGAAGCCCCTGCTAGATCGCTCAAATCGCTCAAGAAGGAGAAGAGGAACGAGGTTGCCGCCTCTGCCACAGTCCTCGAATTAGTGACAACAGCCACCTCTGTAGAAGAACCACCGACGGAAGGAGCAGAGAGAACAACGACAAGTTGCACTCCGAACTGGCTATTTTGGAAGAAGCGAAGAACCGACGAAGCAGAGCTGGCGGCTGCCGTGTCGAGCATCTACACGGCCTCGTCCACGTCTTCGTCAATCAATTCGCCAGCTGTAGACCTGGAGATGACGAGCGCAACCCGCGGAAGAAGACGCGGGGCAAAGGAATCAACGACGACTCTTTTCGAGTCAAGAACGGAAGGAAAGGAGATGATGCAAATCCTCGGATCCCTTCTCCGGCCGAACAAAAAGGACATATGGCGGCACCATCGACGCTGCCTCTCAACGGGGCGTCAATCGAAGCAGAACCGAGGAAGGATGGTTGGGTACGTTCGTCGGCGGTGCAATTGACGCCGTGATCTGGTTTGACACTAGTCGTGAAGACAAAGCCCAAGAGAACTCGGGCGACGACGTCCGAGAAGGAGGAGCAGGCCCATTGAGGTTCTTCGCCTATGGTGACTCCAAGTGTGATGCCAACCGATGGAGCAGGGAGGCCGGAGACGAGGTTGGAAGTGGGATGGCTTCCTGGTCGTCGGGTTCGCGGATCGCCGTTGGAGGAGATGAAGAATGAATACGACGGCGAGGGCTCTCAATCCCAGAACCCTAGATCGCCACTCTTACTTCCATTGGGCATGTGTGTCGCGGGCCGAGTGGACCAACGGGGCGAGTTAACACGAATGGGCCAAGGGCCGTTTTGGGGAAGAGCAACAGAGAGAGTTTGGAATGAAGTTGGGTAGGACTCAAGGGCTAAGGAAGACCGAGCTTCAGTAATCCATCTCTCCGGCATAAGTGTGGTAGACCGCAGATTGGAAAAGGAGAAGACACTAGTTGGGTTCATCTTGGGTCGGATCACTTTGATCATTGGCCTAGGTGAGTTAGAGGGAGCAGGCTGGGAAGATGAAAAGAAGTGTGTGGGCTTGATCAAGAAAGAAGGCCTAGTCAAGAGAGAGTTGGGCCACGAATTTACTCTTTTATTGGATCTGTTTTGCAGGAAAAGAGTGAGGCCAATGTGGGTTGTGTTTTAAAGAAGATAGACTTGGCTGGTGGGCTTTCAAAGGAGCTTAATTCCAACCTACTTGGAGAAGGATGGAGCCCAAAAGAATTTATCTTTACCACCAAGCCAATGGCGGAATCGATGGAGCGGTCCATTGAAGCTTTCGAGGGGGTTTATGGGAATGGGCTCAAGGAAGAACAATTCCCCGATTCTTATTTCGTGGATTTCAAAAAGGAAGAGGGCGAATTGTTCAACTATGAAGAACATGACACATGTAACATGGGTGGAGGAGAGTCGAGGAAAGTTGGACTGGTGCGAGAAGAGTTCATTCAAGGGATCGAGCACAATTGACAATGAAGAAAGCAGAAGATCGAGGAGGTGGAAGTCAACTGCAACCTTGAAGGCAAGGTTGGTTTCAAGAGGGGTGGATTGATAGAAACCCGCCCTATTGGGGTTTCTATTATTATATTATGTAGGATAACCATAATTATGGTTGATAAAGATTTAGTCGAATTAGGATTATTATTAGGGTTTTCCAATATTCCCTATAAATATGTACTTTGTCATCTTCAGAATCAATGATGAAAAGTATTAAGCAAAGTATCCCTCGTAAACCTAATCTCTCTCAACTCCTAATTTCTATTTTCTCATAATCCAAGGCCTCGGCTGATTCTCGATTCACTATCCAACTCTTTCTCATCTAAATTCCTAATCTCAACCCTAAATCCATATTTCTTACGAGTAATTGTGGGTGCCGAAGGGGAATATATTGCTACACGATAACTTGCAACCCCTATTCTGTGTCTCACTCCTCCACTCAGTTTGACACAAACAATAATTAAGTTAAATCATACGGTGGAGGAGAGTAGCGAGGGCTTGTACGATAATTCTGAAAAATATTTCAAAAAATCAAATTTATTAAAAAATTATATTTGTAAATATCTCTCTTTTTCAAAGAAAATCATAACTTCAAAAATCAATATTGAAAAATTACTGCTACTTAAATTAGTTATGATTTAGCAATTATGTTGTAGTGATTTTATTAATTATTAGTAATTTTTATTTTTAGTAGTAACTTTATTGGTATTAATTGAAAATTTCTAGTAAGAATCAGTACGGCAAATGATAAATCACTACATCAAATTCAAAAAACTACTATAACTAAGCAAACCAGTACTAATGGTAAAATATCAATGCTTACAGTATATATCACTATTGAAGAACCACTATATAAACGCTACCAACAAAAGCCATATCCAAAACTAGTTGGTGCCCGACCAATTGGCCGGGATACTTTTTACGTGGTTTATATATTAAATAATTTAGTGTCTTGCCTTACTAATTTAAATTGTCAATTATTGGATAATTACAAAAAATTTGTTAATACTATAATAAGCACTCAACTATTAATACAATATTTTATTATGTATCTCCTTTTTTATTTTCCCGTTAATTTCTCTGTCCCCTTTAGTCTCTCCATGGTAAGCAATAGAAACAGCATTTTCGTTTTTACTATTAAAAAAATGAAAGAAAACAAATTGTTGTGTTGTGAGTTTCAAGTAGTTGCTGAGTGCTGACGTGGTAAAAAAAATTATTGACATAAAGTATATGATAATTTTCAATTGAATACCAAAAATTCCATAAAATATATAATTTGGTTGGGTTTCTCTCATCTAAATAAAAAGAAAGATAATATAAAACTAAGAAATTCACTTAGAGCCCATAAAATATGTAGCTCAATATTCCAGCCCAATTGAGAGCCCAACGGAATGAATGTACACCTAAACACTTCTCTTTTCCTCTAAGGAAATAGCAATCCTAGGCGTTTAAGTTTAGGCAAGAGAAAGAAAGATGAATCAACATCAGGGAGAAAATAAGCTTTGAAATTGCTGACAAAAATTGTAATAGCTTAACCGCCGAGTTCGTCCCAGAAAGGCAATATAGTGTTGTGCTTAAAAAAATCATTGTCAGGGGTTCACCGATGTCAGGTCCGTTTGTCGATCGAATAAGATAGAGATACTTACACCATAAATCGAAAGCGCAAAAAGAAGAAGGGAACCCCCAGGCGAAGAGAACGGGATGGTCGGACTCCGGAAGGAGAGCAGAAGCAGAGAGAAATCCTGAAGAGTTGTACACCATTCTTCAGATTGATGAGACATGCAGTATTGAAATTGGATTTGAGGTATCTATTGGGTCCCTCTCTTAACTCTCTGTTGAATGGGGAAATTGGATTTATCAAGGATTAGCAGATATGAGTTGAAGATGGAGATGCAGGGGGAATGAGGTAAAATAAAAAATTGGGTGAGAATGATTTAGCTTTTGTGGAGGGGCGCCGTGGACAACAGGGGAGTTTCGATGCTCTCTTATGTGTTTGTAATGGTGGTTCAGACGATCATGGTAAGGGGATTCCAAATCAGATTGCGTTGATCGTGTTCAAGAACTATGCTAGTGCTGGTGCAGGTGGGGATTAACTTATTATGATGTGGCAGGACGGCAGATTCACCAGCAAACTGGATGGATCCACGTCGGAAAAGGGGCTGGGACTGAACGTGGAGCCGCAGCCGGCAGAGGCAGGGAAAGGGGAAAGGTTTGAGCTTTGGAGAGCCGAAGGAGCAGAGCACTTCGGTTTGTGGTTGCACCGCCGCAAGGGGACGACGGAGCGGCCGCGGGGGAGAATCGAGGAGATGGGTTTGAGGATGGGAGTATTGAAATTCGAAGAGAAAGACGGAGGAGGAGAAGGAATTCGAAAAGTGTTAAAATGACGGAAAAGACCTTCCGCCGTGTGCGGGCTATGGAGCAGTGGCTGACGTGTCAATATTTTTTCGATGACATTCACTTATATTTATGTGTAGATCACACAACTGACGCGTACGTCAAGTTATCTTTACTCTGCAAATGTAGTGATAGTCGTAATTTCTAGTTTGGAGCTTTAATTGAACTTCCATAGGAATAGCAGTAATTTAATTTAGTTTTATTCCCAAAACCATTAATCAAACTCACTCATTCAAACTTTGTTGAAAAAGATGTGAACCAAGTCTCAAAACTCGTTTAATCTCATCAATTCAACCCAAATTGTCACACAGAAAATAAATTGTAATTTGTGATACAATGACATACCCACCCTACACATTGACTCACAAGCTTAACCGTAAAAGACAGCGCCACATTGATAATCAATCCAAAATTTAAGACTTCAAAACTCCACCATAGGATTTAGAAGCAAAGAGATCTTCTGTTTAATTTTCTTCCCTACTCTCCAACCACTAGCTTCTCCACAGACTCAGTACTCACCCATCACATTTACTCCTCCGCCACCCTATACCCTTCCAAATTATTATTGTTGAGCTCAAATATTAAATAACCGCCGACGCCAGCTCAAGTTTGGGCCGAAAGCATGCAAATGCTGTACTGCTCTGCATTCTGCCACTACTATAAAAACCCTACCCCAGCCTTCCCCATTTCAACCATACACCTGATCAGAGCCTCATACAACTTGCTGCAACAAGTTACCTTTTTAGCCTGCAATGGCACTCCTTCGGTTTCTACTTGTTCTCGTGGCAGCTCTAGTAGCTACGACTTTGACAACAAACATAGCTCCAGCCAAGGCCGAAGTTGTCGAGGAAGACCACTTCTTCAAGAAGTACTTGCACAAGCCCGGCTTCGATTATCCTAAGCCGCACCCTGGCCATCCATTATTTAACAAGCTCCACAAGCCCCAACCCTTCTTCAAGAAGCCCCACCCTTTCTTCAAGAAGCCGTCCCCGTTCCTCCACGCGCCACCGATCATCAAGCCGTCGCCGGAGAAGGAGGTGAAGCCGGCTTACCCGTTCCACAAGAAGCTCTTCCCCAAGTACAAGTTTGGCTTCGGCCACTACCATCCAGGAAACCCTCCTGCCGACAAACCATAATTATCATTACATTATTGGATTTTTCTGTCAGGCGAAGAAGAAGTATGGAGGAAGGATCCAACCTGAATCGATTGAAGTGTGGAGTCAAGAATCAGGAAACTGAAGTTTGAATAAAGAGTCAAAACAACGTCGTTTTGATTAGGGTACTGTAGTTGATAGTGTTGTCCTGGTCTTTTACATTTATGGTCCTTGAGTTATGTTTTGTGTCGGTCAGGTCCAAGTCGAGTCTCTTAGTGGGTTTTCGTTTGGAGATGAAGTCTGTTAGTTTGTTAGCTAAGTTCGTGGTGTTCTGTTATCTGAAAAGAAGGGTCATGGGGCTAGTAGGCTGGTGGAAGCCGGATTTGCACGCTGAAGCCTTTGTACTTTGTTTCGTTGCTACCATTTAATGAAAAACTTCATCAGTCGTATGCCCTAATTTGAGTTCACATTGTGGTATAAGGCTCAGCAAATTATAACTTGTGATTGTGTGCCAGAGAAGATGCAAGTCTAATATAATTGTAGATCAGAGTTGATAAAACACAAGAGGACTAGTGATGATCTTGATCAGGGTGGTGAGTGAAGTCTCAAAGGAAATTGAGCAAACAGATATATCCTAGGAAGAAGAGTGAAGATGGAAGCTTTGCTCGGGTGGGCATACCAAAGTTAGATGGTGATTAAGATCATTGGAGCTTGATGATGGAAACCTTGCTAAGATTAAAAGAATACCGGGGAGTTGTTAGTGATAATTTTGAAGAACCGTCAGCCACTGAGGAACTTTCTTTTGTTCAAGCCAAAAGCTTGGAGGACCTCAGACGGAAGAATCTGAAAGCCAAGATTATATCTTCGGCTCGATTGATAGAGCAATACACAAGATCATCACCAATAAGAGAACCCCAAAGGAGTTGTGTGATACCATGAAAACAAAGTTACAGCCTTCAGGGAAGGGCAAGAGTTCATAAGGCACAACTAAAGGCCTTGAGAAGGAATTTTGAACGGTTAGAAATGAATCATAATTGATTTCTTTGTTAAGGTTATGGTTGTAGCTAATTCAATGAAAAACTGTGGGGATAATCTGACAGATGTGCACATAGTTGAGAAAATTTTCAGAACAGTGACCGAGAAATTCAACTATGTGGTTTGCCCTATAGAAAAATCCAAAGACATAAAAACATTGGATGTTGATGCTTTACAGAGCTCCTTGATAGTCCATGAGCTAAAGTTTCAAAAGAAATGATCTGAGGAAGAATCCCTCAAAATGAGTTATGAATCCGGAGGAAGATGAGGCTTCTACCAAGGAAGAGGAAGATGAGGCTTCTACCGAATAAGAGGAAGAGGAAGGGGGAAGTTGGAACAAAGACACTATTGAGTGCTTTAGGTGTCACAAGGTTGAACACTTTAAGTATAAATGAGTGTTCAAGACTGGTACGACAATGGACAAGGCCATTACTCTAACACCTTTCCTGGACAAATCAGAGCATATATAGATATGAAAGTGGGTGTTCTCCTCACGGCTCATGTTGGGACCTTGAAACTTGAAGCAAGCAAGGAAACAAAGATAGTTTGGTGGTTTCTTGGCTCAGATTGCATCAACCATATGACAAGAAAAGAATTGGTTAATAGACATGGTTACCAACTTCAAAGGAGAAATGGCACAAAACTATATGTTGTGGGAAAAGGGAATGTGAAACGGACCTTGGAAGGATTTTCTCCTGCTGCCTTCATTCAATTATTCTAAGGATAGGTTGATAATCAATATAGATATACTTCTACTTCTTTATTTATCATTAATGAATCACTTGGTCGATTAGTGACTTAAACATCAATTTACCAATGAGTTTAAGAGCGCTAACTGTTTTTCTAATCCATAGTTTTAGGTGTTAATAATCAATTTATTCGATAATTCAAATTTTTGAAAGAGATTCAATAACGAATGTAACACAAAACATATAAGTGAAGCACCCCAACTCAAATCTTGGTCCAAGTGCCCACTACCCACCCCGCAATGAGCTACTGAGTCAAAACTCTAAACAGATCCAAGATCATCGCCCTAAGCCCAATATTTTTCCCAAATACATTCCGGAATCCACTAACTACCAGATGTAAATAAATAAAGGGCAATACCATGATGCCGGTATAAAAAGTACGTCACCGATGACGTTGATTTTATTGGGCCACATGTACGTCATCGTTGCTGCTCCATTGCCTTCGCCGGCAGACTGTCGAACAACAATCTTGGCGACTTCGCCATCGTTTCTGCCATCTCTAGCCCCACCTCCATCGAAACCCTCTCCATTTCCCCAACATGTATTCTGTAAAACAAAGGCGACGAAAGCCCGCATCTTCATCGTCCCTTTCTCCCATCGAACAGAGGCACCGCAAAATTACCCGAACAATCCCAGAAGAAGATAGTCTCCCTGTTGGACAATTCAAAACAAAATTCCTGGAGGTGCGGAGCAAATTTCCTCACCAAATCAAAAGTCTGCTTGGTAATTCTCGTATTGTGTGTTTGAGGAATTAGGATGACAAATAAATTAATGGGCATAGCATCTATTCCCCTGCAGCGTGATCCCAAGACGGCAAATAAACAACAAAAAGAGGGACTGATATGCCATGCCTACCTCCTCAAATAAAGATTTATCCAAGTAACTGGTAGCCTTTGCTTTGGTGGAGAAATTCGCTCAACACCTATAACTTGGTTGTGATGATTCCAATAGGGGAGGTGCAAAGCGAGGCGGTCGGCGTATTAAACGGAGTATTTACTAACTATGATTTATAGTAAACAATGATGAAAGTCGTAAATGACAATTAGTATGTTCATACCATCATGGTACGATTTCTTACCATATGATATTAAATAAGAGCATACCATATGGTAATGACTGGTACAAAATTATTCAAAACAAAATTTGTGCTAAAAATATATCAAAGTGGATATCATTTTAAAGAGCACATTTGATCTGATTTATCTGTGAAAAAATAAATAAATTTCGACTTAAAACAAGAGAGAAATCGTCCGTTAATGATTAAAGGAGAATAGATAAAAGACTTTTCAGGAGAGAAATGATACTGATGTCATGTTGATGTGGATAAGTTACTCATTGTTACTAACCATAGGGTTACTGACCTAATCCGTTCCCGTGCTAGTGGAGTCGTGGTTTGTTTAGTGACAATCACTATTTTTTTTTTTTGTGGGATAACCTTTTTCTGATTTGCCGATAACAATTATATGATTTTTAATTAAATTAATTTAAAAAATATAAACAGAGCATTAAACGAAAATCCTCTTGGCGTTACTTGGGGAGAGGCCGTTTAGGCCATTTCTAACGGGTCATTTTTGTTTGGTTGAGATTAATTAAATAGCCCAGACATGCCACATAAGCTCCATGTGGCCCAATCACAATCAGCGTCACTGGTGCATCACTTTACTCCGAAGAATAGTATGTAAAATATGGGATGGCTAAGTTATGCACACACAAAAAAACATACATACAAGTATTTAAGCTAATGCTATATTTAGCAATTGGTGAATTTTTCATAAGAACATACGATATCAATGAGTCTAAAAATATATAGATATATTAGTAATGTTAATCTATCAATATAATTTTTTAAATACGAGGTTGACAAATTTTATAAAAAAATGGTTATATTTACTATTTAGTAAGGGAAGTATCAAAAGTAGGAGAAAAATAAGATGGCTCAATAAAAATAGTAGGAAAACATAAATTTAAAACACATATTAAATTATGTATTTAGTATTTACCAACTATGGTCTCTAATTGCGGTAGAGAGATTCCCGCCCAAGTAATTGTTGATTTATTGTTATGATTTATGAGGCCCTTGATTTTCTGCACTTTACCTCTGTTAAATGGTAAAAACGGGTGCAAACTAAAAATTATACGCTCATTCAACGGGAAAAAAAATTACACGCTCGGATACTGGGAGCAAATATCACGCCGGACTTGTAGTTATAGGAGAAATTTTACAATGCTATATAGTATTGGTGCTATAGGATTTTGCCTTTATGGTACAACTTAAAATTGTACATTTACGTTATGGTACAACTTTAGATTGTACCTATACTTTTTGTACAAATTCTTTTATGGTACAACTTGAACTTGTACCTTTATGTGATGGTACAACTTCAAGTTGTAAAGTTGTACCATAACATAATGGTACAAATTGCTTTATGGTACAACCTAAACTTATACATTTAATGTTATGGTACAACTTTAAGTTGTACATTAAAGCACCAATACTATATAGCATAGTAGAAGTGCTCGTAGTTATAGTAGAATTAGAACTCTTCATCCCCAAGTAAAATTTAATTTCAGTAAAAAATATATTCCTAATTAATATCCTAAATAACCGGCTCACTCTCAATGCGCAGGAAGGAACGCTGGAACAGAATGCACCAACGACTAGACGATCTTCGTCCACAGCAGTTCCCCTGGACATCACCACACAAGATCCCAGAACCCCTCTCACTCTGACTTGGCCCCAAAGTAACTCTCACAATATATGATCACCTCGAAACCGCCCAACTCCAGCAACGGGGACTCGTTCTCTGTAACCGCCCAAACAAAATGGCTTCAAGCGTCCCTCTCCTCGGCCCACCGGAGGCCTACCGGAAATCAGAATCTGCCGTCGACGGGACCAACTCCCCCGTCGAATCCAAGCTTGAAAACCTCAACCTCAACGGCGGGAGCGGACGCGGAGGCAGAGGTGGCGGACGCGGCGGCGGTGGCGGTCGCTCCGGGAAATCAACTCGTCCACGGTTCGGAAGGACAGAGAACGGCTCCCTCACGTACAAGGCGGCCGGAAACCCCTGCCTCGACTTCTTCTTCCACGTAGTGCCGTCCACGCCGAGGGAGTCGGTGGTTAAACGGCTGAGGAAGGCGTGGCGTTTTGATCCGCTCACGACGCTGAAGCTGATCTGCAACTTGCGGGGCGTAAGAGGGACGGGAAAATCCAACAAAGAGAAGTTCTACACCGCCGCGCTCTGGCTCTACGAGAAACACCCGATTACTCTGGCTCGCAACGCGAGAGTGATCGCCGATTTCGGTTACTTCAAAGATCTACTCGAGATTTTGTACCGATTGCTGGAAGGGAGCGACGTGAGGGACATAGCGCGAGGGCAGTGGCAGAGCAAGAAGCGGAGTTACGGCAAGGGAGACGTGAGGAAGGCTTACTTCCTGGCGAAGAAGGCGGCGGCGAAGGGGATTGTTCGACGACGACGACGACGCGGCAGAGTTGTGATCCAACCGCCGCCATCGAAGAAGACGAAATCTACGGTTCCAAGAAGAGTGCGAGTCAAGCGGAACCAAGCGAAGGTGAAGGCGGCGAAGGAGGAGGCGAGAGTGAAGAGGAAAGAGAAGGTGATCTCCAAGGCGACAAAGGCATTCTTGAGGTACCTTTCCGACTCCGATTTCCGATTGCTCCACGATTCAATCGCGCAGATGTTCGCCGACGCTCTGAAGCAAGACCTGGAGAATCTGAGCGCTCGCCAATTCCGCAACATCAGCCTGGCCGCCAAATGGTGCCCGTCGTTGGATTCTTCTTACGACAAGGCGACTCTGATCTGCGAGAGCATCGCCAGGAGAGTCTTCCCCAAGGAATCAGATCCCGAATACGAAGGAATCGAGGACGCGCACTACGCGTACCGCGTGAGGGATCGGCTGAGGAAGCAGGTTCTGGTGCCTCTCCGGCGAGCAATTAAACTTCCCGAGGTGTACATGAGCGCCAGGCAGTGGCGGAACCTGCCTTACGACAGAGTTCCTTCAGTGGCGATGAAGAATTACAAGGGCCACTTCGTGAAGCACGACGGGAAGCGATTCAACAAGTACTTGGAAGATGCGGCGCAGGGGAAGGTCAAGATTGCAGCCGGAGCGCTACTTCCCCATGAGATCATCGCAGATCTGAAGTCCTCCTCTGCCGACGGAGGCAAAGTGGCGGAGCTCCAATGGGCGAGAATGGTGGAGGATATGGCGAAGATCGGGAAGCTGAATGATTGCATCGCCGTCTGCGATGTATCCGGGAGCATGTCAGGGGAGCCGATGGAAGTGTGTGTTGCTTTGGGGCTGTTGATTTCGGAGCTGAGCGAGGAGCCGTGGAAAGGGAAGGTGATCACGTTTCACGAAGACCCGCGGCTGAATGTGGTGGAGGGTAAGAGCCTTTTCGAGAAGACGGAGTTCATAAGGAAGATGGATTGGGGAGGGACCACGGATTTCCAAAAGGTGTTCGACAGGATCTTGGAAGCCGCGGTGGAGAACGGCGCGAGTGAGGAGCAAATGGTGAGGAAGGTGTTTGTTTTCAGCGACATGGAGTTCAACATGGCATCGGGCCATTACCACTATGGTAACTACGGCTATGGCAGTCGTGGTTATGGATACGGGTATAGTGACGATTCTGGTGACGATGATTCTTCGGATGAATATTACGGTGAGGAAGATGGTGGAGGCAGGGTAGATGGAGAAGAGGAAGAGGAAGAGCAGAGGCCGGTGGAAGGATGGGAGACGGACTACGAGGCGATCCAGAGGAAGTTCAAGGAGAAGGGGTTTTCGAGGGTGCCGGAGATAGTGTTCTGGAACCTGAGGGACTCGTCGGCGACGCCGGTGAAGGCGACGCAGAGTGGGGTGGCGCTGGTGAGTGGCTACTCGAAGAATATGGTGAAGCTGTTCATGGAGGAAGGCGCGATCGCTGATCCGGTTTCGATAATGCACAAGGCCATCGAGGGGGAGTTGTATCAGAGATTGGTTGTCTGCGATTAGATACCTTTTTCTCGAAATTTTTCCAAATCATCCTGTTTTCATGATTATCAATAAAGAGTTTTCATTGTGCTTCTGAATATTGTTTTGCCTGCTAGCTAGCCGAGTCTGTTGTGCCTTTTTTAGAATAGTGAAACTGTAGACAATTGCCAACAAAGACTATCATTTTAGTGGCAACTATCATATCGTAGTGATTTACTCGTTATTAGCTATGATTTTAAAATTTTAAATTATTAGGGATTTGGGAATCCGAATGGTTAGCAAGTTGCAACTATCATATTGTAGCAAGATAGGTGTTGTTTGGTTTATGTGATTGTTTGGGTGAGATCGTGGGCAGAGGATGTCACATAAATTTTTGAATTGGAACGATTATATCACTTATTTTGAGTTAATGCATGTCATACCATTGAAATTTCTTATGTGCACCTGGTAGCACTTAATTTCACTGTTAACTATATTATGTTAAGGTTGACGGAGGAAGTCCTTGGACTTGTAAAAACATCATTTTCTTCAAATTTTATAATTAGTCTTTCTACTTGTGCAAATAAATTCCTTGGACTTGTAAAAACATCATTTTTATTGTTTTCTTGAAAATCTCTTTTGGAGGCTCTAATACCAACATAAAAACATCATCAAAGTTTGTCGAAGGTTGTAACTTAAAACCAAAGTATTATATCTTATTCTCTAGGTTTGTTGCTTACTTTTGTAGTTTTTCTAGTTTACTTATCACTTAATTGTTGTGTTCTCTCTTATTGTTCTAAATATTGTTCAATCACTTTCTTATTATTTTTTTATGAAGGCGAATAGTGAATTAAAATAACAGAAAGAGTTCATTACAAATTCGGGCACCAGGAGTGCGATGAATAAAAAGGAAAAGGAAGAGAACAAGCACTACCTGCACCAGGAGTGCTTGACCCGCCAGAAGGCCCATGCTCCAAACAAGGGGAAGACAACGAACTGAAAGCAGAACCAGCCGCTCAAACGAACCAAATCAGCCCAACTCCCCAAACAAGCAGAAGCAAACCGGCACCGACACAACATGCGAAGCAAAACTAAAAAAAAAGGCAGCCATGCCTGCTCCAGAAGGAAGCAACCAAGTGAAAGACTAGCCACCCACAAGGACGCCACAAAGCTCCTCCACATCGTCCATAGAGATAGAACATCCAGAAGAAGCGCCATGCCCAAACCAGCATCAGAGAGACTACAAAGCCGCCGACCCTAACTAATCAGATACAGAAACCCCTAAAGCCAAGCAGCAATAGAGTTGCGATCAACTTTGCCTTTTGCTACAATCCACCTTGTAATGTTGTTAATGACTCTTACAACAATACGATCCGGACTAGACGAGACATTATTGAAAATCCTTTGGTTGCGCTCTAACCAAGTGAACCAAAAGACACCATGAAAGGCACAGTATCTCACTCAGCCTTCAATGTTGTTCGGAATACTAGCAGGCCAATCCTTTATGGTTGACTCAAGATTAGCTCCAACAGGGAGATTGTTAAACCTGCAACCCTTCTGAATCACGTTCCACACATGCCTAGTAAAGATGGAGCCAACCAGAATATGCCCAGCCGATTCTTCTTCCTCTCACAGCGATTAGCTAACTTCAAACCTCCCTTTTGTAAAACATCGAGGGTCAAGATCCTTTTATGCGCAACCGTCCATACGAACACACAGATCTTTCCTGGAACAATCTTCCTCCAAACCGAAATAGAAGGGAAATGGGGAATCCCAGAGAACTTTTCCTCAATTACAGCCCTGTACATAGATTTAACTGTATAGCTCGTTTTTGGATTAGGCTGCCAAACAACTCTGCAAGGACTGTTAGCTTTGGAATGAGAATCATAAGAATTAAGAATTGAAAGTAAGTTCAACCTCTCTTGTTCAGCCCCCCTTCTCAGAACAACATTAATACTTAAATTAATAACTATATTGTCACCTGAGATCTCCACGACGTCGTTGATCTTGGCTTCCGGATTCGAGGCAACGACAACAACTCGTGGAAAGGCGTCGGTGATGGTGAGGTTTGGATTCCACCGGTCGAACCAAAGAGAGACGTCAACACCATTCCCTGGATCGATATGTGCGAACTTCCAAAAAAGTCCACATCCCCTCATAATGTTCACCCAGACAGAACTAGATCGACCCCTGTTGTTGCATCCAGTTTGCCACTGAGAAATTCCGTTTGAGTACTTAATTTCGATAAGGGATCTCCACCATTTATCCCTGCTGACTGCATAGTTCCAGATCCTATTGCAGAGCATCGCACATTTGAAAGAAGCAAGATCCACAATTCCCAACCCTCCTTTATCTTTATGCGTTTTGCACAGCTTCCACTCCACAAGTGAGATTTTCTTCTTATCCCCAACCCCACTCCAAAGAAAGTCCCTTTGCATTCTTTCCAGATTGGAGATCACTCCTTTAGGAGCTTTGAACAACGAGAAGGCATACACTATGAGGCTTGACAGGACAATTAGAGCTCCATTCGCCCAAGCAGGTATCCGAGATACTTAGGAGGGTTAGAGCTCCATTTGCAGCCAATTATGTCAGCGAAGAACTCGAGTTCAGGAACATCTCTCACTGTATATAACACCATTTTATCCAGATTTATTTTCAATCTAGTTACAGCCTGAAAACACGCGAGAGTGGCTGTAACATGAAGAATTTGCTCATGAAAACACGCGAGACTGTCTTATTCTTTCTGATTGTGTTCTATTTCTCTTGCTTTGATCTTGATGTATTATTAGTCGATTAGAATAAATCAGTGATCCGTGTCATTCCAGGTCTTCATCACTTTTGATTACAACGATTTTGCTCTTATCACTTTTGCCTTAAGTGGTTAATAGAAAATATGTGTATTGTGGAAAATACTAATGAGGGGTTTGTTGGGGGTGTTACTAAGATACTCCGCGCACAGACTAAGTAATAGCGCGTCCAATCGACAACGTATAACGCTCGAAACCCGCTACGAGTATATAAAGGTATGAAACCCTCCAAGGAGAGGGGACTTCTCCTCTCTCCTCACTTTCTACTTTCCACTATCTCTCTACACCTTATCTCTCTACCTTATTCTCTCAACTCTCTCTTGAAACATAAACTAACTTGATCGTCGGAGTTTAATCCAGGGGGCATCCCCGACTCTTTCACAGGTTCCTTCCCTCCCGATGAGATCAGACGAACGGATCGTGAGTCAACCCCACACCAACAAATATCATTGTTCATACCGGAGCTAGATGGTACAAACAATTGGCGACAACCGTGGGGCATGATTCCGACATCTGTTCGTTCGATTTTGAAGGGAGAATGGAAATTGGTCGCCTCTTAACACCATCAGTAGCTGCAACAGAGAAGAAGAAGAAGAAGAAGAAGAAGAAGAAGAAGAAGAAGAAGAAGAAGAAGAAGAAGAAGAAGAAGAAGAAGAAGAAAAAGGAATCCAGATCTGATTGTTTTTAGGGAGGAACCCAAATCTTCCACCACCAACTTGCTCCTGTCGAAGATCAAGTTCATAGACCCAGACAACGCCTCCAAGATCATGGGCTACATCCTCATACACGAAGTGGGCGAGAGGGATTTGGCCGGTCTCGCTTTCGGCCTGGAGACCTTCCTGCTCGGCCTCATTGCGAAGACGAAAACTCACTTGGGACTTTCGCCCAACACCTTGTCTTCTGCAACAACGCCTTCAACTCCCTCTTCCCCGCTCAATCCCAAGAATTTCAAGAATAGCAGCTGTCCTCGTCGACTTTTCTCCCAAGAATACGCTACCTCTACCATCACTTGGTCAGAAAAAGCATTCAGGCACGAAAACCAAGATGCATATAAATCGAGGCAGATGGATAAGGTTACTGAGTGGCGTCAATCACCGCACGGCAACCCAGACCTTCGCCCCCATCCACCGCCGCGCGGCCAATGATTCATGGGTCCGCCATCACCTTCAATCTCAGCCTCCGTTAACAACGCGCTTCTCCGCTCTTCGCCTCTCCCACGTTTCGCGCCTGCCCTCGGACTCCCCACGCGGTTACGTACGACTTCTTCATCCCGCGCCTCCACCTATCTTCATCGACACATAATGCGGCTGCCAATCCACCTTTCCACCTCCAAACTCCTTTCGCCGGGCCCGCTTCGTCCAGTCTCCCGCCAAGCCCAACAGGCACGCCACCACCAGTCCCCGCTCCCATGCTGCGGCCCAATCGCTCGCGTCTCCAGGCCCGCAAGCCTGTTTCCCGCGCCACAAAAGTCCACTTCACTCTAGTCGGCACGCTCCGAAGCTGATTGGGCCTGCCCGATCACTCGCGTCACATGACCCGCTAATGATGTGTCCCGCATCAAAGCCTACTCCGACTCGCGGCCTAAACCGGACCCACGCCCCGTTCTATGCACCATCAACTCGCGACCCACTTGTGCAGCTGCAACTCGCGACCCACAAGAAGCACCCGACCCGCCAGTGAAGCAGTAGAGTGCAAAGCATCACAAAAATCATGCGCTGGAGAAGGGATTCAAACCAGGGTTCAGTCACTCGCGTGCAAGCAAAGGTAACCAGTGGACTACATGAGAACTGTTAATCAAATGGGCGCGGAAACCTGATTTTAATATCTCCTCGCTCTGCTTCTCCAACTCGCGGCTTACTCACCGAAGATGGGCAACCCACCACTCGCGGCGTGGCCCAGACCGGGCCGACGCCCAGACCCGTGCCACCACCACACTCGCGGCCAACATCGCGTCTGCGCCTCGCATCGGGTTTTGCCCCACTTCCGCCCCAACAACAGTCTCGCGGATGTTGGGCTTACTTCCAATGCGCGGCCCGCATCGCATCACTTCCAGAGCCCAACATGCACTGAGCTCATCAAAAATAATATTGATGCCGCCAATACTCGAACCTACTCCACTCTTCCGCAAGACAAGAAAACTGACCAGCAGGCTACAACTCGAGTTGTGAATATTCACGCGGCAGCCCCATTTGAAGAAATCTTGTCGCCGCCTCTTCAAGTCAAAGCTAATCACTCGCATCTCCCGGCAGTGGCGGACCCAGGATTATTGAAGAGGGGTGTCGCCAATAAAAATTATAATAATTAAGATAATGAAATAAAAATTTAATAGAAATTACTGGAAATTTATTTATAAGTTCACAACCTCATGTTTACTACGAATTATGACGATTTTTCATATTTGAGATTTTTTTAAAATACATTCATCGTTTATATTGCAAATCAAACCTTTTTCGATATAAACAACTACATAATCATTCATAAATTAGTCACTCAACTAAAGAGAATCGACCTACGTCTAAAATCAAATTAAATTAAAATAAATTAGTTTGCTACCAATCGGCTATTTTAGAAAAAACAAAGTATGCCTAAGTAATATCATTAGCATTTTTTCTCTAGTTCTATCAAATTAACCAAAATCAAACCACAATCTCCCATAAGTATAGGCAATTCACCTATTAACTACAAATCAATAAGTTAAATTGGGTTGTGGGTTACTTAAAACAAGCATGCTTATTTGATTTTACTTATTATTGTTAATTACTAATTATGACGAATAACTTTATAACATTAAAACTATTGTCATATAATGAAAGTGTGTCGCTTATAATTATTAGAGCGGTGTCGGAAGTTCCAAATTAAAAAATTTTGTACCGAAAAAATGGAGGTCCTTCACAAAATTTTCGAGCGGGTCCGCCCCTGTCTCCCGGCCTGCGAGGTCAAGTCCGCCTCCAATTCTGCGCTCGCTCCTCATTCCGCGTGCCAGCCCACCACAGACCCGCGTCCAGCACCATGTCTGTCACTCTCCGCTTCAACAAGCCTCACGTTGAACCCGCCTCAGGCCCACCACGATCTAGCTCATCTCGAAAGCGGATATGCCCAACTCCAACTCGCATCTGGCCCGCTCCTCGTCCATCCCTCTACAGCTGCACGCTTCCATCAAAAAATTATGCTTGCGCGGTGATTCGAACTCAGGAGCTGAGTTCATGAAACCAAGATGCGAGCCACTGTACTACAAGGAATACGTTAGCTCCCAAGGGCGGCAATTCTTATTCCTACCTCTTCAGTTCAAAGCTAAGTACTCCATCTTTCTATCTTTATTAAATATTGAAATATTTTTTACTTTCCTGAGCATTAATGGCGCTAATGGGGGGCAAGACGTACCCAACAACGTGGGAGATGAGAAACTCACCAAGCGACATATGATCACGGCCCATGCCTCGACTAGTCAATGCCATGCCTCACCAAGCGCTCGACGCCTTGAAGACTCCAAACTGAGGGTACATAAACCCCGACGAGGAGAGCACACAACGCCTCGGTGAAGCTACAAATAAGTCTCAACGAAGCACACAAATAAGATTTCAATAAGAGCATCGGTGAAGCTACAAATAAGTCTCAACGAAGCACACAAATAAGACTTCAATAAGAGCATCGGTGAAGCTACAAATAAGTCTCAACGAAGCACACAAATAAGACTTCAATAAGAGCATCGGTGAAGCTACAAATAAGTCTCAACGAAGCACACAAATAAGACTTCAATAAGAGCATCGGTGAAGCTACAAATTAGTCTCAACGAAGCACACAAATAAGACTTCAATAAGAGCATCGTTGAAGCTACAAATAAGTCTCAACGAAGCAAACAAATAAGACTTCAATAAGAGCATCGGTGAAGCTACAAATAAGTCTCAACGAAACACACAAATAAGACTTCAATAAGAGCATCGGTGAAGCTACAAATAAGTCTCAACGAAGCAAACAAATAAGACTTCAATAAGATCATCGGTGAATCTACAATATGAGAGTGTTCAACTACCTCTATCTCCAAAAAAGGGGCACTAAACGTGCGCGGTAACCCCATAACGTAATCGTGCGGCTATCACAAGCACACCAATGAAAGAGGGCACACTTGTGTGTGTGTGTGTGTGTGTGTGTGTGTGAAGAACTCCAATTAGAGAGTGCTCAATACCTTGGAAAATTTTCAACAAGCAATTGCTTAGCGCCTTGGAGATTCCAATAGAAGAGCGCTCAACGGCTTAATGAAATACACCAACTGAGGGGCATGACGCAGGAAGCTGGCACTGCGTCAGCCAAACGTGCCACCAGCTGGGGGGCAACTGGGGGTACATAGGGCTCCACCCAAAATTACCAACGAAGATTTAAATAATAAATAATAAACTACTGATGAGTTAAAACTCACCTCCATCTTGGGGGGAGGGGGCAATTGTTGGGGGTGTTACTAAGATACTCCGCGCACAGACTAAGTAATAGTGCGTCCAATCGACAACATATGACGCTCGAAACCCGCTACGAGTATATAAAGGTATGAAACCCTCCAAGGAGAGGGGACTTCTCCTCTCTCCTCACTTTCTACTTTCCACTATCTCTCTACACCTTATCTCTCTACCTTATTCTCTTAACTCTCTCCTGAAACTTAAACTAACTTGATCGTCGGAGCTTAATCCGGGGGGCATCCCTGACTCTTTCACAGGTTCCTTCCCTCCCGACGAGATCAGACGAACGGATCGTGAGTCAACCTCACACCAGCAAATATCATTATTCATACCGGAGCTAGATGGTATGAACAAGGTTGTTTGGAAGTTGTGATTATTCAAATTGATGTATTAAATCAATTAGTGTATTATCATTTCATGTATTGAATCAATTGACGTTTAGGCAAATATCTTGTTTGGATAGATTGTGTTTTGTTGTAATTGAGGGAAAATTCGATTATTTTGTAAGCAAGTTTTGCAATACAGTGAGATTTCAGAGGAGACTCATTCAATCAAAGTGAAAGACGGCCAAACCAAACCCGAGTCAGAGATGGAGTCCGAGCAAGGAAAGGAGCAATAAAAAGGTGCAGATTTTTTGTGCTTTTTATAAGCGCGGGTTAGTAGCTCTATTTGTGTTTGTGTTTGTAGAGGCCAGAGAAGAAAGGAAGGAAACTCATGGGACCATTGGGAGTCTGCAGTGGCGGAATCGCTAAGCCGCCGCGGCAGTCAGATTCAGAAGATCTGTTCAGGAGATTGCCGGATGAGATCGTTCTGGATATCCTTTCCCGGTTGGGAACGGTGAATGAAACGGCGAGATGCGGCAGCCTCGGGAAATGTTGGAGGGGTATATGTCGATTGATTGACGGTGGGGTTCTGGATTTCGACAAATAGTTGGACCTACTGAGGAGCACCATCCCAAAGACGCCGACTTTCTCGCCCACAAAGGGTGGATGTGACGGCAGGAGAGAGGAGATTTCGAAGGAAGCCCAACTTCGATTCGCGAATGCGGTGAATCAAGCACTGAGTTGGCATCGGTCCGAAACTCTGGATGCTTTGAGAATAGCGTTCGATTTGTACGGATTGGGAGAGGAAGCCTGGAAGTGGATCGAATTCGGGTTGAAGAAGAGGGTCAAAGAGCTGAGATTGCTGTCGTGCTTTTCCTACTCTCCGCACTGTCGATTCCCTCTGCCACTTTTGACACCTGAATTTCTGGGTACACAGGATCTCAGCCGGTTGGAGGTCTTGGAGCTGGAGGGCTTGTCGAGAATTACCCAAGAAATTGTGGACTACATTTTCTCCCACTGTCACTCCCTGAAACGCTGGGTTCTCCGCAATTCCTGTTTTAGCGGTGAAGTAGTCAGAGTTTCCAACGTTGAGAAACTACAGTAGTTGGAGTTCACCCGCTTATATTTTGCCCGCAGGATAGAAATGATGTCTGCTCCAAATCTTCATACTGTCAAGTTCACTGGGAATGCAACAATCTCTTTCGGGGACCAACTTCCTCAACTTCTGGAGGCATCCTTTTGTGGTGCTCTCAAGGCCTCAGATTACTCCCTCCCTTGGCCTCCCTCTCAATTTTGCAGGTATGCACCACGGTTAGAGCGTCTCACACTCGAGCTCCGTATGTCCTACTTCTTCATTGCTTCTCGGGGACGATTGGATTAGTTGACATTTGAGAACCTCAGAGTCTTGGATTTGGTCATGTATTATAGCTCTTCAAGTTTCTTAGCGTGCACCATGCTAAGAGTGGCTCCAATGTTGCGGGAATTGTCCATATGGTTCAGTATTCCAGATTACTTGAAGAAAGCCTGGGAGCCAAGCGACTTGAGTGCTGGGTCAACATGGTGGGAGCATCACTCTCTTGAGGTGCTTAAGCTGTATGGGGTGCATCGAACATCAAAATTGGATGAGCCAAGATTCAGGCGGCCTGGACGTGAATCTCACGATGCTCGCGTACTTTGCCTTGAGGTTGCTGCTCACATCATCATCAACTCACCTTCCTTGAATGAGGTTCTTATCGACACCTGCCACAAAAATTTAATGTTCTCTTCTACCGAGTCTAGGCCTCCATGTCAGATTGATATCGATACCTGTGAAGCAAGAATGGAGTTGGAAACCCAACTCCAAGGCCGCTCAGCTAGCCCTCATATTCACTACACTTATCGGTAGTTGGTATATAAAAGCCTTGGTTGCCACTACTGTTCATTAGTGGTCTCCACTTTCCTTGCTGTGACTGGTGCTTCTCCAAATATTTCTCCCTCATTTGCCCACATACCCAACTTCTCCTCTCTCAAAAACTTTAGCCCATCCTATTACCCCACTCTCCACTGAAAGACCTTTGTATCTTCCTTTTCTCCATTGGTCGCACGGCTGATGAGACTCTACTTTTTATTATTCTTCCAATATCTCTTCTCTTTTCCACACGCAAGACTTTTATTACTTCCAATCCTTTGTTTGCATTACTTCCCTTACCCACACGAGCACTTCTACTATGCTATATAGTATTGGTGCTTTAATGTACAACTTAAAGTTGTACCATAACATTAAATGTATAAGTTTAGGTTGTACCATAAAACAATTTGTAATATTATGTTATGGTACAACTTTACAACTTAAAATTGTACCATCACATAAAAGTACAAGTTCAAGTTGTACCATAAAAGAATTTGTACAAAAAGTATAGGTATAATCTGAAGTTATACCATAACATAAATGTACAATTTTAAGTTGTACCATGAATGCAAATTACTATAGCACCAATACTTTGTAGCATTGTAAAATTTCACTTACCCACACAACTCTTGATTTTCTTTCTCTTTCTTGCTTGGTCCTTTTCGGCGGAATCCCAAATCGGATCTCTCTTTTTTCCCCTGTTGACGAAGAAAATAAGAAGAAGACGAGGGGGATCATTGATGCAAGGAGGAAGAAGAAGAAAAGATGCTTCTAGGTTGTCTTTTTCTAGAAGAAGAGGGGGATCGTTGGTGCAGGGAGGAAGAAGAAGAGGAGATGCTTCTAGGTTGTCTTTTTTGAGAAGAAGAAGAAGAGGGGGATCGTTGATGCTGAGAGAAACAAGAAGAGGAGATGCTTCTGGGTTCTCTTTTTTGCTCGGGCCCTTTTCGGCTGAATCCCAAATCCCGATCTCTCCCTTTCTCATGCTTTTAGATCGATTCAATCTTTCTCATCCGCTGGCGTTCATCTTCTTCTATCAATCCATCACCAACCTCTTCTCTTCCCCTAGTGAAGTGGGCGAACCCGGTATGCCGTTAGTCAGGGCGCCGTCCTCCCCATTGCCAAAATGCCCTGACCGCCATCACGCGGGCAGTGCAATCGAACCCGCCAATCCTCGCATGAAAGGTCACTGCCCGTAACGAAGAAGAAGAGAGAAGTTGTTGGAGAAAGGGAAGAATATAAAGAGGAAATGGTCACAAAGTCAGCAACAGAGTGAGAAGAACGTCAAATGAATTGGTGGGTCTGCAGGCAAAAGAGAACGCCGGTCGATGGCAAAATGAAGGGTGGCTGGGCAGGAACTGGGTTCGTCAAGAACGAACGAATAGAGCAGAAAGGAAAGGGCACAAAACTCCATATCGATCCCGTTACCTACTCCGAACATAGTGGGCGAGCCTTCCCCTGGCTTCCCGTCCCCTCGGATTTGCCGGCTTGACCCCAAGTTCCTCCTTTTGCTTATGTTGCTGGTTGGTATCCCTCTCTTTTCAATTCCTGTTGACGGTAATTTTCTGCTATTTTTTCCCCATTCGAAGTACCGTTTAGCGAGGCAATGGAAAAGGATAGGAGAAGGATAGAGACGTGAATACTAGCATAGTCAATGCAGAGGCATGGTGAGTTGCAGCCCACGAGGGTCTAAGTTTCTTAGTTGAAAAGTGGGATTTTGAATTCAGGGGAACAATTACAGAACAATGAAACTACCGCCATCATGATCTTTTCGTAGGATGCAGCAAAAACCAGCCCTCAGTTTTAATAACCTGGAATGTGAGGAAACATGATAATATATTTGGGAAAGGAAGAGAACTTTGGTGACGACCGATCGTTCTTCAACACATATGTTAGCATTTTCTATCCCGTAAACAGCTTCATGAGTCATATAGAAGAAGCTAGCATATATATAAATACACCCTGTACACGTTCCTCATACTTCTGCAGCCTTGGAAACAAATAAGCTTATGATCAGTAAGGATGTTGTTATCTTTAATTGTAGTCTTGATTCTGTTTAACTTGATCTCGGTAAGCCGTCATAGGGACGAGCTGCACCCAGTTCATTGTGAGAAGAGACCCATGACCTGTGATGGTTTCTTATTTTAGGTTAGGGGAAGTTTCATAATAATGATTAGTTAGTTTAACAAACTGCTTCGTTCATGATTGTAGTTAGTTCCAGCGTCATTCTAGCCATTGTTTCGTTTGTAATTTCGACCATTGAAGGTGTGAGGAATGGCTTTACATGAGCTTTTACAGTTATTTCTATTCTTATGGCTTTCGGTGCCCTTTGTTATGTATTCAGTTTCATACTCTAATTGTATATTTGTACATTAGGCAGATCATGCTCGAGATAACAGCTCGCTGGTGACGCTGCTGCAAGAAAGGAAGCCATCAATGAAATTCAGACCGACAACGGGAGGGATGCTGAGGGTCAGTTCAATGATGATGTTTGGTTGGCAGTAGACAATTGTTCTTTGCTTTTCCCTCTACATGACAAGTTAACTATTTCTGGTTTATTTGTTGGTTTGTGAAGAAGGATAAGATGGGGGAAAAGGGACAGGCAGGAGATACGGAGAGAACTTCTTGCCGCTATTACGATGGATTGAAGAAAGGAACTTGGAGCACTGAAAGTAAACTTTCTTTAGTTTATTCTTCTGCTCTCTTATCATGTCCATTGCTATTGTCACCACCCTCGAAAGTAAACTTCCTTTAGTTTATTCTTCTTCTCTCTTATATTATGTTTGTTGCTTGCCATATAAACTGCCATATTTATTTTCTTTAAGTAACCTAAACTTCCATTCAACTTGATGTTAGAAGGCTGCTATTGTAATGTGTTTCTTTTGGTTAGCTTTAGACTGCTATTTAATTAAATATGATATTGACCATTATCACCTCTCTTCTGATTGTCTTTGTTTTTTAAACCCATAGTGTCTCATTAGGAATTTCCTTTGTAATTACTTCTGCATGAAAGATTGACAAGAAAATGGGGTTAAGATTGACACGTCATGAACTTAACTCGCTAAATATGACAATTGAGACTGAAAGTCAAACTCATTTGGTGATTTAAACGTCACCGAATAAAGTGGTCACTTGCAGGTACTACTATATGCTGAAAAACGTTTTAGACTTAACTTTTTCAGGGCTTGATGGTTTTAAGTTTGATATGCACACGCGCTGTAGCATGTATGTCAAATGTCTGCGAATACCACAATTAGAAAAACTAACCTATGTCAGATGCTTGAGAATACTACTTTGATTGCACATGTTAATCTATAATAAATCCTCACATCTTCATGATGACGTTCCCTAACCCGTGCCTTTTACCATTGTCATTGTTTTCTTTTCTTTTACCTGCCAGGTCATGCTCAATATGAGAATTCTGACCTGTCAATAACAGATAATTTCCTTTTCAGTTGATTCATTTATCTGTGACCATCGGCAGCATCTTACATCCATTGGTTGAAATATTTGTTTGCCTTGCCATTGAAGTATAGATGATGGACCTGAATGAGTTTTACTTGTCTGTTTTAATTTATTATTTGCTTTCTGAAGCTAATAACCATACTCATTGCTTGCAAGTATAGTTTTAGTGTTCCGACTGCATTAATTGTTTAACAGGTTGCTTTTTTTACTTGCTGTTCTGATTGCAAGTCTTTGTGTTCTTAGGATCTGATTTATTGTCAATTGCAGCTTTCAGCATTACCATTATAACAACCACAAGCTCTGTAATGAGGAAAGTTTGCAGATTATCCAGCAAGGTGAAAGGAAGGTAAGTAGCTGTATTTTCTTTATTTGTTATGGTTAAATATATCTCTCTTCCATATCTCTTGAATTTAAAAAAACTTGATTCACCAGTGGTTCAGATGAGTTTTATGATGCTTGCTTAGTCAACTTCTTTAGTTCGTGTATGTTACTACCTATGATTATAGCTATCAATAGCGGTGATGGTACACTAATTTGTTTATGTTATGTTAATAATTATGATATAATAGTTATCGTCATCTATTCAGTATTTATAGTAATTATGTACTCTTTTCAGCTCAACCTTTTATTTCTTTTTTCATGCGCGAAGCGTAGCGAGCGAGTCATTGCTAGTATTATATATACGTATGTATCTATCATATTTTGATGTAATGCTTGATTAAGGATATGATGTGCTGACCCGAGATGTTATTATGGAAAAACTCTTCAAAACAAGTAATCTTATATTTTTCACAACGAAGCTTCTTCCTTCGTTCTCTTTGATCATAGTACTCTCATTTCCCCTCCAGTATACAAATCTTTTATTTCATATTGCTGCTCTTAGTTTTTGGTGGATACTTTGGAGGACTATATTCTATTGTTTTGGCTTAGCAATTAAGGTTCACTGGTCCCTCTTTTGTAAGATACTATGGCTGGGTGCATGGATTTCTTACATCATGGTTGCATTATAGGACTGAATTTCCTATTATATTAGTGTCACTACTCACCATTCCACAATTTTTGAAGATAATGAATCTCCACCTCAAGTAATCTGCTGCAGAGTTGAAAGATTAATAGCAGATGACTGATTAGTGCAGGGAAGGTCGACAGAACAGCTGGGGAGACCTGGCTAAACTCTGTGCAGAAAGAGCCACTCTCCACTCAGTGCAGTTTGTAATTCGTCACACGCCACGGTTTGTTGCTGCAGAAGATGAGAGGAAGGGTAGCATGCCTGTTGATGATGATGTGGTTGTGGTGATCCAGTGGGTGTACTGTACTGTTGGAATTTTGCAGCAGCTCTCATAGCTTGTTTGAACCATGACAAGTAGTACTTGTGTTGCATGTGTGAATTCATATGGGTTTGCTGCTGTTGGAAAATGCAGGCTCCAATACCAATTCGAACAGCCTTTGGTGAATCAAGAATGGCGCTAAACAAAGTCTACTGAGTTCGATTCCAACAATTTGTCGCAGCTCGTTTAGAGGTTTTGCTGGAGGGCAGCAGCGTAATGTAGTCTTGTGCGAATAGTAGGCTTTGTGTAGTTCCCTCTTGTTTGTTGCCTTGCTCATTTTTTCCTGTCTTTCCCTTTTCTGTTTTGTGTAGCAGGCTTTGTTTAAACAAAAAGAAATAAGTAATGCAGGGTAATCTCAAACACCTGCTCTGTTTCCTCTAAATATATGTTTCTAATACAACGTTTTTGTTTAGCCATATTGGAGATTTCATATGATTAGTGATGAAGCAAATTCTTGATTCATTGGTAGAGTTTGTAACGAACGGAACGAGACAGAAAGGCGCAAAAACAAAGTAGCAGTGGGGACTGAAAAAGGACTTGGTCTGCATTATATTCATACTACTATTCATCGAAACTAAGGAACCATTGCCCAGTTTGAGTTCCTCCAATGGCGGAAAACAAACATGATACAGGCTCTCTCACAAACTACAAAACGCTAATACTCTCTTATCACTGGCAAAACAAATCGTTTTAAGGCTTCAGTCGAACACCACAAGCTTCTTATACTCCTCCCCAGCAATGGCTAACCCCATCACATCCTCTGGATTCACTATCCCACCTCCATCCATGAACATCGTCAGCAAATTCTTCGAGAACCCACTCACCAGCGCCACCCCATTCTGTGTTCCCACCACCGGTGTGGCCGAAGAGTCCCTCAGATTCCAAAACACGATCTCCGGCACCCTGCTGTACCCTTTCTCCCCAAACTTCCTCTGTATCGCCTGATAATCCGTTTCCCAACTCCTTGGCTGCGGCACTTCCTCCTCCTCCTCCACCTCAGATCCTCCGAAGCCACCACCACCACCGCCATAGATTGGGAAGTGGCCGCCATATGGTGCATAGTGGCGGTGGGGATAGGGGTTCGCATATGCCTGGTGGAACTCCATGTCGCTGAACACGAACACCCGCTTTATCAACTGATCCTCCGTCAGGTTGTTTGCAACCGCCGTATCCAGAATTTTGTCGAACACCTTGTAGAAATTGGTGCTCATCCCCCACTCCATCCTCCTGATGAATTCAGTCTTCTCCTGGAGCGTCTCCCCCAGCACCAGATGGAGCTCTGGATTTTCACTAAAAGTGATCACTTTCCCTTTCCACGGCTCCTCGCTTAGCTCCGAAACCAGCAGCCCAAGTGCCACGCAAACCTCCATTGGAGTCCCGGACATGCTACCTGACACATCGCAAACGGCAATGCAGTTGCTCAGCTTGCCTTTCTTCGACATGTCCTCCACCACCCTCGCCCACTGAAGCTCCGCCACGGCCCCTCCATCGCTGTCGTCGTTCAGCTGGGCGATGATCTCGTGGGGGAGCAACGCCCCTGCTGCGATCTTCGCCTTGCCGGCCTTCACTTTCTCCAGATACTCCTGGAACCTCTCCTTGTCGTGCTTGACGAACAGATCCTTGTAGTTCTTCATAGCCACCGATGGAACTCGGCCGTAAGGAAGAGAATTCCAGTTTCGTGCGCTCATGTAAACCTCCGGAATCTGGAGGGCTTTGCGGAGAAGGACGAGGATTTCCTTTCGAAGCCTGTCTCGCACGCGGAAAGCGTAGTGGGATTCTTCCGCGGCTTCGTAGTCCTTCTCGCTCTCCTTGGGGAACATCCGGCGAGCGATTGCCTCACAGATTAGCAAGGATTTGTCATAGGAGGAGTCGATCGAAGGGCACCACTTCGCCGCCAGAGTGATCTTCGAGTAGTCCTTCGATTTCAGGGCCGCGATATCGGATTTCAGCAAATCTGCAAAGAGATCTGCAATCGAATCGAACACGAGCCTGTAATTGGGATCGGAATTGTACTTCTTCAACGCCTTAGCCGCTTTAGCAATCTCTCGCTCCTTGCGCAGCGCTCTCGCCGTTTCCTTGTCGATCGGCTTGGCAGAGGCCTCGTCTCCGTCGCCAGGTTTCTTCGACTTCTTCGCCTTCTTGATGGTTCGAAGATCAGCTTCCTCATCCTCTGGTTCTTCTTCTCCCGCTTCCGAATTTTCGTCGTCCTCGTCGTTATACAAGTGCGGGAATCTCCTCCTCCTCTTGGCCATTGCCCTGGCCGTTCGTTCCTCTTGTCTCTCCTCCTTGGCTTTCTTCCTCACTTCGAGGCCTTCGAGGATCCGGAACAGAATCTCGACGAAATCCTTGAAATAGCCGAATTCCGCCAAAGCCCTAGCGTTGAGAGCGAGTGTTTTCGGGTGGTGGCAGTAGAGCCAGAGCGCCGCCGCGTAGAACCCTTCTTTGTCCGACTTGCCGGTTCCTCTGACTCCTCGCAGATTGCAGATCAGCTTGAGCGCAGTGAGGGGATCGTGAGCCCAGGCCAGGTTGAGGCGATCGACCAATTTTTCGGCGGGAGTGTTGGGGACTATGTGGAAGAAGAAGTCGAGGCAGGGGTTGCCGGTGGAGAGGAAGGTAGCGGAGCATTGTTCCGTCAAACTCATGGGCGGCTCACCTGACAATTCCAGCGCCTGGGTTTTGACGACGATGGGTTCGATCGAAGTTTCGGAGGATGGAACGGGAACAATGGTTTGGGGCGGATCAACGGACGTCATCATCGCTCCGGCGATTGATGGAGGGCCGAGGATCTTAATCGACGTTGTCATGATGGATGCAGACGGCGGTGGTGGGTCAAGACTCGAGAAGTGTTTAGGGTTTATTAACCCGAAAAGGTAGAAAGAAAATTGGACTTTTCCTTTCTTTTTTCTTTTTTTTGAGGATGAATGAAAGGTGGACTTCCTTTCTATTAATACTCCCAAGCAAGCGGTGGAGCCTTTATAATAATAGGTTTTATTCACAAATTAAATTAATTTGTTCCTTTTTCTGATTTCTTTTTCGGATCTTTTATTTATTTTCAAAGATTTGGAACGGTCCTGGATTTTCGTTATGATCTGTAAAGGAAAATAATATTTAGAAAATAAATAACTACACACACTCCTTCGCGCCCAAGTTTCTTTCTAACCTTGCACACCAAGTTATACCAAAATAGGGATTATAAATCAACACATAATATAATACACCGAAGGGAAAAACGGGAGCCCCATTTTAAATTTCCTGCAACGAAAGTGAAAGTAGAAAGGACATTTTGGTCTTTACAATTACTTTTTTTTATTCATTAAAAAGACACGTAGTGGGATTCAAACTATTATCATTTTAAGAAAAAATAAGGATCATAACCAATCACACTAAGTATATTTCTTGTATCTTTTTAAATGAAAAAACATATAATAGTAGGGAGGAAAAAACTCTTCCCCCATTTCAAATTCCCTGCTCCAGGAGCATTTATAGGAATGATAGAATATGGAGTGTATATTTTTTTCCTCTTTCCTCTGTGGAACGGGCCAACTTACCGTCCACATGCAGATTTAAACGGGTTCAAGAGTGTTAATTTTTTTTCATTAAGCCCTTTTATTTCTCCGTGGTGATAAAATATATATGAGAAGGCAAAAACAATACTTCTTTTTATTGCTAAAAATAAAAAATTTAACAATAAACTAATGCATGGCATCTAATGGGCTAACCGCTAACCATAAAATAAAAGAGTTGAATTGGCTTGACCTACACGAGATTTGGCCATCAAGTAAAACAAATGAACATCATTGGGTTGACATTCTAAAACAAGCTATTTTCTCTAGCATAATATATATTATGCTATTATTTTATATCTTAGTGGCTAAAATATAATGTATTTTAAAGTTATTCAATGGTTCAACCTCGACCAACCCAATTAGTCCAATTTTTTTTTATCATTTCAAGTATATATTACGTAATTATTTGGTATCATAATGATCAAATTATAGTGTATTTTATAGGGAATCATTTGGTATTTGTTAGTAAAAAAACTAAACAGAAAGATCTATTTGGTTATTTTAAACATTAAAACGATCCTAACATTTTGAATTTCTATGGTTTTATTCCCAAGTAAGTGATGTGCAAATGGAAAATTGCAGTCATCTCTTTTCATTCACTATTTTTTATTTTCAAATAGAAAGTTCAAAAGTAAAGAATAATTAGAATTTGGCATGGGTCGGTCAAACAGGCTGCATTTCAAGTTTTGGCCCGTTTTGATCAAGTCTAATTTATAATCAGATGGTTCCCTGATACCCGATAAAAATCTCAATCCAAACCAGTTTGGCAGGTGAGTCCGTGTTCACCACCATTTTCTAGGGATACGACAACGACGGTTCCTATCCCAAATCGTGTTGTTCGTTCTTGATTTTCTTAGATTTTATCATGACTTGAAAAAAACCAGAAAGCACAATGAAGACAAGATAAAATTTTTATAAAACAAATTAATCGGCCAACGGGCCGAGTAAAAGCTAGCAACGATTGTGAGATGCTCATTTCCCGAAAACCGACAGGATAGACGATTTTTTATTCGATTTTCTGGAATTCGGTTTCTATAAAACTTACTCCACCTCATCATATTACCAGAAACAATATTGTTTCACAAGGTAACAGGTACTTGATTTTGGTTCATAAGGACGATTTTTGATTTGTTGCATCATTAATGTCTCTTTCCTGCTAAAATTCACTATTTTTATCACGTGTTTCCCAAAAAAACTATAGAACAATAAGCTATATACCCCATTACATTATCAAATTTCATACCTCACCTTCCTCCGGCTAACTAACCGGGGCACACGCTAGTAATTATATAAGTCGGAAAACTTTAAAATCAGTCACTAAACATTGGGTTGTTTGAGGGAGAGATTTCAGTCAAAAGTCCTTTTTTTTTTACAAAAGATAATCATATATTAATAACACAGTCAAAAGTCCTTCATCCAGTCGAATTTCGTCCAAATTCTTTGTTTGGTAAGATGATAATAAAATGAGAGATTTTGAGGTCAGAATTTTGATAATCGACACTTGTTAGATTTTCAAAATAACTGCTCCCTCTCAGCTATTTTGAAATCAAACACGGTCAATATGCAATTAACCATTAGTGTTGATTTCATAAGCTATGTAGCATTATAGGGTTACTCCAAACCCTTAGGTATATACAAATTGACTGAATGTATTATAAGGTTAAGCTTGATATCAATGACTCTAGAGAGTTTCAACTTTCTCATGGAATGCCACGTGAAAACTCTAGTGTGTTATTTCTATTCTGTTTGATTATGGGTTTGTCCTTCTCTTTGCAATCCCTGTAGATCACGATGATGAATCGTAACCCACAATTCAAGGGTTTTTCCTGCTGGGCGCAGAAGGGCCGTTTAGTTTGTTGGGTAAAAGCTACTTTCATTATGCTGCAAAGAGTCCTTAAATAGAGTTCAGTACAAGACAATCCTAATCCTTCTTTACAATGTAATAATAAAACAAGTAAACTAATTAACTAATGATCATAACGTGGATTGGGCTTGGGCACTCTCTTGGTCCGCCGCGGTTCCTCTGGTTCGTACGTCTCGCGCGACACTGGTTGCGTCACTCCCTCATCATTGCTCCCCTCCAAAAGAGTGACCTTGTCCCCAAGGTCGAAGTCGGGAAACTTGTCCCGCAACACTGCCATTTCCTCCCATGTTGCCTCTTCAATTAACAAATGCGCCCAACGCACAAGCCCTTCCTCGATCATCTTCCCACTGCGATGAACCCAACGGTAGTCTAGGATCTGTTCAGGCTCAACCATCACATCACCATCATCTGAGACAGGTGGAACCGCCGCTGGTACCTCCGGGGGAGTGCCACGATATGGTTTAAGCAAGGAAACGTGAAAGACTGGATGGATACGGACGTCCTCTGGAAATTGAAGCCGGTAAGCTACTTCTCCGACCTTCGCGGCAACCGCGTATGGACCAAAATATCGGGCAGCCAGCTTTTGCGAAGCTCTCCGAAATGCGGAGCTTTGGCGGTACGGCTGTAGCCGTAACAGGACTAAGTCACCAACCTCAAAGTGGAGCTCTCTCCTCTTCAAATCAGCACGCTGCTTCATGTACTCGTTAGCGGCGACCAAAGTGGCCTTGAGCTCTCGTAGAATACCGTCCCGCTCACCAAGCAAAACATCGACGGCCGCCACTGAACTTGTTCCCCCGGCATATGGAATGATGTTTGGTGGGTCGCGCCCATACAAAGCTTTAAAGGGAGTCATACCGATAGTGCGGTGGTAAGATGTGTTGTACCACAATTTAGCCCAAGGCAAAAACATGTGCCATTTTCGCGGCTGTTGGTGCGCGAAGCAGCGTAAATACTGCTCCAAACATCGATTAATAACTTCCATTTGCCCGTCTGATTGAGGATGATAAGCAGAACTCATATTAATTCGTGTTCCTGTACGTCCGAAGAACTCCTGCCAGAAGTGGCTAAGGAAGACTGCATCCCGATCGCTGACAATTGAAGACGGAATCCCATGATGACGAACCACACCGTGAATGAACTCATCCACTACTTTTCGTGCTGTGTACGGGTGGGACAGAGACATAAAATGGGCATACTTGGTCAACCTGTCGACCACCACGAACAAAACTGAGCGCCCTCCTGAGCTCGGCAACCCTTCCACAAAGTCCATAGAGATATCCTCCCAAACCTGGCAGGGAATGGGCAACGGCTGGAGTAACCCTGCTGGAGAAAGCGAATCAGACTTAACCCGCTGACACGTATCGCACGAGGATACGTAATCACGCACTGTACGCCCCATCTGCGGCCAATAGAAGTGCCGTGAAATGCGAGATAACGTCCGTTGTGCCCCTGAATGGCCTCCCATGGGCGAATCGTGGAACTCCTTTAAAACCGTTGTCACCAAACTAGAGAGAGGAGGAAGGACAATGCGCCCTTTATAGAAAACCAATCCCTGCCTGTACGCATAGTGGTCCACCTCCGGTGCTAGTGCTCGCTCACGGACCTCCTGCAAGTAGGGGTTATTTTCCATAGCGGCCCGTAACTCGTCCCAAAAGGATGATTGGGGTCGGGTGATTGCATCGAGCCATGGCCCGTTAGGTAATCGAGATAATGCGTCCGCCACCCGGTTGCTAGAGCCCGTCTTGTAGTGAATAGAGTAGTCGAATCCCAAGAGCTTACTGACCCATTTATGTTGATCTGGCGTGACGATCCGCTGCTCCAAGATATACTTCAGGCTCTTCTGATCGGTATAAATATGAAATTTTTGTCCCAATAGATAAGGTCGCCACATCTGCACTGCCGTTGTAATAGCCAACATTTCTTTCTGGTATGTGGACCAAGCCGCCTTGGCGGGCCCTAATACCTTACTCATGAACGCAATTGGTCGGCCTTCTTGCGCCAAAACCGCTCCAATTCCCTTGCCCGAGGCGTCGGCTTCAATCACAAATGGAAGCTGGAAATTGGGCATAGCCAAGGTAGGTGCGGATGCCATGGCTCTTTTTAGATCGGTGAAGGCTGTTTCGGCCGAATCACTCCACCCAGAGGCGCCTTTCTTCAGCAGGTCCGTTAGCGATTTAGCTATGGCCCCATAATTGCGTATGAATTTCCTGTAATACCCTGTCAGTCCGAGAAACCCCCGCATCTCGGTGACACTTGTAGGGCGCGGCCAGTTGGTCATGGCCTGAATTTTATTTGGGTCGGCCTTCACTCGTGTATCAGAAATAATGTGTCCCAAGTACTCCAACTCCCGTAAGCCGAAAGCGCACTTGGAAAACTTCACGTAGTATTGATTGCGGCGAAGGGCTTCAAGGACGTGTCGTACGTGCTGCAGATGATCATCCCATGTCTTACTATGTATTAGTATATCATAAAAGTATACCAAAACATACCTCCTCAAAATGTCTCGAAATAAGTCATTCATTGCTGCCTGGAAGGTCGATGGCGCATTGCACAGCCCGAAGGGCATGGCCAAGTATTCGTAGTGACCGTTATGCGTACGAAAAGCAGTCTTACGCACATCTTCTTCAGCCATCCGAATTTGATGGTAGCCTGCTCTTAAGTCCAGACGCGTAAAATACTTAGCTCCATGAAGTTCATCCAGCATATCCTCGATGGTGGGGATCGGATATCTATCCTTTATGGTGGCCTCATTTAAGGCTCGATAATCCGTGCAGAAGCGCCACGTCCCATCCTTCTTCTTCACCAGGAGCACAGGCGACGAAAACGGGCTCGAACTGGGACGGATGAGGCCAACTTGCATCATCTCTTGTACTTGCTTTTCTATCTCGCCCTTTTGGTGATATCCGTATCGGTAGGGTCGGACGTTTACCGCGTCCGCGCCCTCTTTGAGCTTAATGTGATGGTCCTCCGGTCGATGCGGCGGTAGCGCCTCCGGTTTCTCGAACACCGTCTCAAATTCCCTCACCAACTCTTGCAAGTCGGGTGGCAATGGCTCAATCTCAGCTGCTTGCAAGGGAAGACATATTGCCCACATCACTCCCTCCTCCATGCATAACTCGTCCAGATTTGCACGTCGCATGCCACTGGAAACTCCTTGTAAGCAATATTCCTTGTCCCTCCACTTAAATTTCATAGTCAGGGTCTTCCAATAGCATATCACCGACCCGAGTTCTTCCAGCCATTGAACGCCTAGGACTACGTCCAGTCTGCGGATTGGCAAGACGAACAGGGATACCTCCAATTCTGCGCCCTGTATCATCACGTGGACCTTCGGGCATTTTGCCCTGCAACACAAGCGTTCCCCGTTAGCAATCCGTACCCGGAACGGGTCAATCGGCTCCAAGTTCAGCCTCATCTCCTCTGCTTTTGCTTCCGATATGAAATTATGAGTTGATCCGCTGTCAACCAACAGCACCACAGGTACCTCCGTTATCTGAGCATGGAATCAGAGAGTTCTCGGTCCCTCCACTCCTGTTGCGGCGTGCAAAGAAACCTTTTGTTGAAGCCCGGTTACTTCACTCTTCCAAGCGCACCCTAACCGCTACACCACAGGCGCTCAGACCCTGCAAAACTAACGCTTAGAGGGCTGAGGCCACTCGTTGGCACTCCAACGATCAAGTCAGTGCTAATTCTAGAGAGATAAGTCGGGAAGTAGAACTTTAGTGAGAGAAACCGACCTGAGTAAATGCCACCTACCGAGTGCTATTTATACTACTCGAGGTCCTCGACCAGGCTCCGACCAACTCCTGCCACTAAGCCTTACGTCAGCCAAGCATTAAATGCTTGGTCTGGTCCAACGTCCGAGCGCCTACACGTGGCGCGTCGTCCGACTTCGGTGTCAGGGCGCATGGGGGGACCATCAACCTACGTGGTGCTTTACTGACCCTCCTCCGCCGTACTTCCTTGTCCGTGAGTCTATTTTGTCGCCATGCGCCCCTTTACCGTTGATGCCTCCCAGGTCAAGTGTCAACGGGCCACTAATGGGCTTCAAGCCCATTAGGTTTTTGGACTCGGGTGGGCTTATCTATATTTCCCCAACACCTTTGCTTCGCCTTTTGCTGAGTTATCACTGGCGCCGACGTCAGCAACGTCGCCGACGTCAGCAACGTCGTCGTCGTTGCACCTTCCTTCGGGAATAATGGCGCGGTCTCCGTTTAGCTCTCGTTCGCGGCAGAATGTCGTGAACCTCTCACGCGATTCTGCTAGCTGTGCACAAGCGACCTTGGTCTGCTCGAGCGCTAACTTAGCATTGCGTGCAATGGCGCGGTACGGGCCTAGGTCGAGGACCATGGCTCTGATACCAATTGATGAATCATAACCCACGATTCAAGGGTTTTTCCTGCTGGGCGCAGAAGGGCCGTTTAGTTTGTTGGGTAAAAGCTACTTTCATTATGCTGCAAAGAGTCCTTAAATAGAGTTCAGTACAAGACAATCCTAATCCTTCTTGACAATGTAATAATAAAACAAGTAAACTAATTAACTAATGATCATAACGTGGATTGGGCTTGGGCACTCTCTTGGTCTGCCGCGGTTCCTCTGGTTCGTACGTCTCGCGCGGCACTGGTTGCGTCACTCTCTCATCACACGATATGTAGAAATATGACAAAGTTTTATTGAATGCAAAGGAAAAAACATAAGTATGTTGATGTGAGCCACAAATCTCGGCTGCTACAAGCAACACTAACTCCATAACTCCTTATTTCTAGCTACCACAACTAACTGATCGAGCCAAAAGCTCTCAACAGAACAAACCCATCATTTAGGACTCGATTGTAACAAACTAAAACTTAAGGACCAAATTGGATACTTGACAAACGACGTAGTATCAACTAAAACATACATACTCAAATTCAAACTGGTTTCTTGGTGCCTTGAACCCAACTATTATGTAGCAAGGATTCCACCTCCAACAAATCCTCCCCTGACCTCATCCAACTATAGGCTTCAATTCATTTCAAACCACCTTCAAGCTCACTTCCCTACAACCTCAGAAATATCACAGACTGCTTCTCAATCTCATAAATGTCTTTAGCTTCAGATCTTCAGTCGTAATATCAGCAGCTTGGTCATGAGTTCTTCCACAATATTTCAGTTCGACAATCCCATCCTTTGCAAGATCACTGAGAAAATGAAATCTCACATCTATGTGCTTGCTTCTGCCATAGAAAATTGGATTCTTAGATAGATTGATTGTCGAGCAATTGCCACACACAATAATGGCTAAATTACACGTTTGGTAACTCGAATTATAGAAATCTTTCACATAATCCACCGAACTACTTTTCTTTCTTATTCACCACTAACTTTATGAATCGTTTCACCCTTAGTCACTGACCATTACACTCCGTTAAATATGTCATGCGTGGCAGTCAGCTATAATGTTTGACCATTAACTAGATGACGTGAAAATTTAAAAAAATTAATTAATTTGTCTACCTCATCATTCCACTTACTTTGTATATGATTTATCATATTACTTTACTCCGATCTAGAATGAAGTGGTGGTCGCCGCCGGCGGTGTCGGCAAGCAGCACGACATCATTTGGAGGGACATCAATAATATTATTTATTTTTATAATTTATTTAATTTTTAAGTAATATGATAAATCATATCCACAGAGTAAGTGAAATGATGAGGTGGACAAATAAATATATATTTTTTAATTTCCATGTCATCTAGTTAACGATCAAACTTTATAGTTGACTGCCACATAGGACATATTAACGGAGTGTAACGGCCGGTGACTAACGGTGGAATGATTCATAAAGTTAGTGGTGAATAAGAAAGAAAAGTAATTCAAGTGGCAAACGTGAAAAATTTGTATAATTCGAGTGACCAAACTTGTAATTTAGCCCATAATAATTGTTCCTTCATTTACACTTTTCTTTCGGCCTATCTCCTCTATAATCCTTCTAAGCCACACACATTGAGTTGCACCAGTAGGATGGAGCTATGAATTATGCTTCAATGGTTGATAGAGTGGCCACGGGCTACTTCTTGAATGCCCACATGACAACGCCTCCTCTATGAAAAGAATATGTAGCCACTAGTGCTCCTTCTGTCATCAAGATCACAAGCATAGTCACTATTTGTGTAGCAAAGTTGACAGTCTCCCTTAGTCTTCCTTTGATACAAAATCCCATGGCTCATTGTGACTTCATAATCCTCTTCGCTGACAGCATTTATTGTCTGGTTTGTGCTTCCAAATACATGCTCAATATAGGTATATACCAACCAAACCTGATATTTTTTCGTCAAGTGATAGGTGGGTAATTAACTAATTACTGTTATTATTCAACGTGAAATTTGTTGGGTGAAGCTCTGTCTACTGGCATCGTAAACTTAAGGAAGGAAGGCAGGAAATCGCTGAGCTAGAACTAAAAGAGGAAAGTCCTGATGAATCGAGTAATTGAAGGAAATCAAGCAAGGAGATTGATTCTCCAAATCTAGAGGCAACGGTTGGGAGAAGACAGACTATAAAAGAGAAGAATTGTGGGTAGTATAGTTATCCTTTTCGAGCAGTTTTTCAAAAGCAGAAACAAAGAGTATTAACTGTGTTTTGGAAAAGAAAAGGAGAGGTAGCTATCAGGGAGATAGCGTGAGTAGTTAGCGATTTGAATTCTGGCAGGGAGCTGAATTCTGACCAGGAACTCTGATCTAGTAACGGGGAGTTACTACGAGATCAATTGTAAACTGTAATCCGAATCATACTATCATAGTGTAACGTCAAAGGACTCAAATCAGAGTTCCTTTGACCGTGGACTAGTTGATACTGATTTCTCAGTATAAGAAATCACGTAAAAATCGTTGTGTCAATTTTGCTTATCCCAATTCTGTTTGTTCTATAATCTATCTCTGTTTTGCAGCCATACTCTGTTTTGCAGGGATACAGGACGAGAAGCTGTGCAGGAGATTGACAAGCAAAGTCAAACGCAGTCGTTCCACGGTGAACTGAGTTGGAATTTTAAACAAGCCTTGTCTGATAAGAGTTTGGGCTTTAAGCCCAACAACAACTACGATCTCCTCATTTCATTTCATTTCAAATTAACCTAAATCAGTCTGTTCTTTTTCATTGACTACTATCCATTTCTAACGAGTTACAATAACAACAGGCTAGGATTCTTGGAGAAAAAACTCGAAAAATCCATGGTATCCTCGCGCTCGTCTGCACCAACAAAATTACCATAATCCCCACAGAAAGAGGAAAATCACTGACTTTTCTGCTCAAACATTGCTTAGGGCATATATATATATTGTAGACATTTTAGTTAAAGGGATGCAAAGGATCACGTTCCACTTCATAGTGCAATGGCTAAGTTCAGTTAACCAACATAGCCTCGAAAGCGATATATTAACCCCTCGGCTCTCGCCCTATCAACAAATGTAAAATAATCATTATCCCCTATATCTCAAATGGTAAATAAATAGGTAAAACAATTATGAATGGAAGGTTGCTTGCCGAAATGGACATCTTAATTCCTTATTAAACTGGGGGAATTACAGAACAAAAATTTTTGTGGCGAACTTTGAATTGAATGGAATGAAGTGTTGAACAATGCCTGACCAGACTAGTGACCATGCTTGCTCAATTTCAATGAGCCCACGTGATGATATCGTATCATTAATGTCCATTCCAATCCAATCCCTATCAATCACCTCGCTCGCCCTTGCTTTGTCTTAATTAGCATATAAATAATGGGATTGAGCAATAGATTTATAATTGAATCTCTTTCTACAATTTCGATTATTAATATGAATACATGATATTACAGTTGATTTAGATAAGTGTTTGTGTGCTTGAATTTCTAAACTTTAAGTATGACAAATTTGTATAAATATTATGCCCATGATATACTTTCACTTCAAATGAAATATACGAATGTAATATGTGATCCTCGTTAACTTTTTTCAACAACTCAAATTATTTGTTCCAAACAAAATGTTGAATTATTAATAGAACCAAACCGTTTTTGACATGAATCATTAAAAGAATAATAATTGGAAAGCAAGTCTTGGAAGTGAAGTGTAGATGAATTGAAAACATGTGCGTCATTGAATCTTCAACAATTCTATTACCAGAGAAAGAAATGACACTCAACTTGTATGGAGTTACTATTCTCCGAAGATGCCATTTTAATTAGCGTTCAGCCGTTCACTTATCCATTCCTTATTTTCTTTGCCATTGCATTGCAAAATATATTCTCAACTAATTAGCTTGCAATATTTATGAGTTGCTCAAACATATGAAATTTAGAAAAATATACTAGTGAAAGGAAGTATCTCAATTTTATCAGAGTAACAAAAAGTACTGTATTTTATCTCTATCTTTATTGAGATTTTTTTATGAGTGACGATATCGTGAGATTAAGAACGTTAGACCAATCACTTTTCTTTCCATTATAAGATAACGTGAAAGTAAAGATCACATGCGTAATTATCAAATACGTCAAGTCAAAATGTGAAAATTAGATCATAAAATACTATGTTGCCCCTTGCATTGCATGGCATTGCTCTTCCATGGAAAGCTGAAGCTAGCTAGCAAGAACATGCACTCGTACCTTCAAATTTTGGTGCGTGATTTGATCTCAAAGATTGAGCTTCACAAAGAGGATAATTGAGTGAAGAAGAAGGTAAAGGAGGAAACCATTAAGTACAGAAAAACTGAGTCCCCATTGATTGGTTCATATATGTTACAAAATACGACCCTCAATTCTGTCCAACTTTACAAGAAGGGTGAAAGAGAGAAAGGGACAAAAGGGTAAAGCCATTACAATAGCCAAAAGTTGCAACAAAGATCGAAACAGAGGACTGAATGACTCACTAAGAACCCACAAAAACAGAGCTACTCTGTTTACTCTGAACTCTCTTTCAAACATTTCCTTTACCACCAATTAGGATTAATGGTGGCCTTATAATCGGAAGTAGTCGTCAACAATTCCTCCAAGTAATCAGCGCCCAAATCCTCCAACACCACCATATTCAAATGACGTTGAGCTCTATCTTTCTTCCCTTTCCCGATCATTTTCCGCCGCAACAAATGCTTTCTCTTCAGGGCAATCACCGGCGAGCACCCTTCCTCCGCCACCGCCGTCCGGAGGTTGCAATCGATGTCCTCCAGCGACTCCGCCACCTTTTCCACCGGGAAATTGAGTATCGCCCCGGCCCCCCGCATCGAAAATGCCGCCTGGTCATACGCCAGCGCCGCAGCCTCCGCGCTGTCGAATGTCCCCAGCCACACCCTGACTCCATGTCGAGTCGAATCCCTTATCTCCGCCGCGAATTTCCCCCACGGCCGCCGCCTCACCCCGCGGAATGGCTTCTCTTTCTTCGGCGGCGGGGGCGGTGATGTCTCGCAGGCGGCTGAGCTGACTTCCTCTTCTTTGATCATTGCCTCCGTGGCTCTGCTGCTGCAGCAGCTGGCTGCGGCGGAGATGAGGCCAAAAAGGAGCATTTCATCCGAGTCGTTTTCGTTGAAGGGTAGCGGCGGCGGGGTTTGGTCGGAGGATTGGCTGGAGAATTGGTCCGGGGATCCGAAGTCTGAGGATTCCGAGGAGGAGAAGCCGGAGTTTTGGAAGTTGAAAAATGAGGGTTCCATAGGAATTGGAGATGGGTGAGATTAAGTGCTCTGTTTCGCTCGTTGTATTCTTTTCCTTCCTCTGTTTTCTTGGTTTGCAAAATTGGAAGCTTTGGCGAGCCCTATTTATATCATGCAAAGGATCGTGTCCACTTCATATATATAGTGAAATTGGCCAAGTTCAGTTAACCAGCCTAAGCATCGAAAGCGATATCAAACCCCTCCCCAACTTTATGTATCATAGAAAGAAAAATACATTCTTACTACTTATCGGCTTAAACAATGTTTCGGATGGGTTATAAAGTTAAGAAATTTTTATTATGATCATTGGATTTTTTTTATAGTTATAAATGAATGCAAACTCAGACTGACTGATCATTGAAAAATCTGACAATAGTAAATGAATAGATATGGATTTTGCTACCGTTATTTTGTTAAACTCCAAGTTGATAGTTGAACAACTTGATCTCTGATGTTGATAAATAATACTATTAGACTCGTACATAATTAGATGGAAAAAAATGTCAACCTCTTTTATCAACCGGTCGACTAGTTGTTCGTGTTCTTATCTATCATGCATAACGAGGCATTCAATCGATATAACAAATAGTTATTACTGCACGAATTGACTTGATATTCTTTTATTATATAAGGGTGTAGTTTTTTTTTAACAATGTGTAAGGTGTCAAACTTTATCGACGTAGGCATACTCGATCAACTTGTGGAAGATACCAATCGATTGTAATTATAAACTAGGCGAAACATATATGCATCATATTCACTATCTCGATCGACTGAGTCCCCAAACAAATCGATCGATTTGTCCACTAAACTCTACATCATTGTAACTTGAAGTTTCACCATTAAAAGTGGCATATGAATTGGATTCATGGATTGGTGAATTTATAGATCAAATGAATTGCTTAATAAATCCAAGAGACCCTCTAAACTGACAGTAAGTAGTAACCATGAATACTTAGCGTTTCTTGCTAAACTGACATCTTAGGTCCCCATAAAAAAAAGGGGAAAATACGGACCAAAATATTTGGCGCAAACTTTGAATTGAACGGAGTGTTGAACAACAATCCCTGACCACCAGACCAATGACCATTACCAAGCTGCTGAATTTAAACGTGATGATATCACCCAATCTCTATCAACCACCTCCCACTTGCTTTGGTTTAATTAGCATATAATCTCTGATTAGGGCCATATCAGTCAGCTAATTAACCTGTCTATTAAAGAAAAATCAACATATCCGATCGTATAGAATGATCAAAATATACATAATTTGTTTTGTTTTGTTTACTGAACTATCAGTAACATAGCTGCCTTGACTGGCTTGGTTCTCAGAAGCTTCGTTCCAGCTCCAGCCCAAAGTTGCATACATACGCATCCCTTTAGACTTGGATGATCTATGATGAATATTATTATCACAAATAGTGTTTTCCAAATCTTACTTAAGGGCAGAAAGAAGTCATAGCCGAGCAATAGTGCCGGTGGTTTTCAGCCTCGAGATCACAAGTTCAAATCTTAGTGTAAGTTTTCTTTTGGCAGGAAAAAAAAGGTTAAAAATTAATTTCAGTATAAGCAGGGGTAATTGGGTAATTTCACACCTTATCTAACGGTTAGTAAACAGATTTTTGGATGGAAGGGTAGTAATGTTAAGTTTCTATATTACAAGGGTATGTTTTGGCAAAAATATAATACAAGGATACGTTTCTTATTTTGTAATAATAGAAGGGTATAAAATACTATTAGCCTTTTTTTATATAATCCATTAAAAAAAATCCTCAAGCCAAACGACCTAAAGAAAAATACATTTTACATGGAATTAAAAAAGGAAAAACTAGAAATGATAGGGTGGAATGATATTTTTTGTTTGCAGTCTTGCATATATTGGAGTTTCTTGGATTTGTAGATTTACTCAACTCAAACTTGTGTTTGTATCTCATATTCTTTAATTTCAGTAATGATGAATGGTAGATCCTTGAGTTACTTTGAGGCACTTAATATGAATTGTCACATATGTTACGATTGGACCTCTGTACAAAATAATCAAAATGAGTTTTTTTATAGTAATTTGCTTCCTTTCGAAAAGAACAAATTTAAACTCAGGCCAAGAAAGCATGAAAATCATCCATCTTCAATTAAGGGCGAGAAACGGTTCAATCCGATTAAACTGGACGTGATTGACTCGATTTTTTATTTTCATTTTTGGCAAAAATAGATAATAGAAATTGGACTATTTCTTATATGGTTTTAACCAAAATCGGACCACACAGTTTCTGTTTGATTCGGTTTTAACCCAAAACTGGATTGATTCTTTTTTCCTAAAAAAACTGATGTTAAAACTTCAATTAAATAAATAAAAATTCTATTAAACATGAATGTCGATCCTCTAGGGTGAATGTCGACTCATTTGGATATGTAGTACGTAAACACTTTAGTTATCAATGTAATATCACTTTTCAGAAAATTCACTAATATCATTTGTTGTGTATTGACAGATAAATGAGATTACAAATTAGAAAAAGAAATCATTAACCATCCTTGAAAAAATATCATCTATATCAATAATATCATCCTTGTTAGAAGTAAGGTTTAAGAAGGAATTAGACATAAGGGAGGCGATGGGGACTTTGAAAACTCTAAACAGAAAGCAAATTATGTCATAATTGTCTAGAATCACAAACTTATAGGATCATAGAAAGTTAGAAACTCAAGTTCGCATAAACAACAAGTACTTAAAAAAAAAAAAAGTTCATTCATCATAATCCAAATAGGTGTGGCCAACCATCACTTCTTCTTCATCATCGTAAAAATAGAAGTTTCCTCATTCTCCTCATCTTCTTTCTTGTCAAACTCGAAGGAAAGGAGGAGGGAGCAAAAGAAGCTTTAAAACCTAAACTTGTGATTAGTATTCCAAATTAGGGGAAGGATCGAAGGAGCAAGAACGTGCATTGAAGTTAGTTCGAAACATTGTCGTTTTAGGAAAGACAACTACCTTTTTTTATTCCTACGGGGCGGATCGGGGACGAATTCATACCATCTGTTCCCCGTCCGTTAGCACTGTCGGGTTTTCCCGTCCCCGCTCCCCGACCACTGAACGGGGAGAGATCAGTTTACGACACCGTGAAGCAACGAATTCGGGGAAGCCACGGGTCCGCGTTACCGCCAGAAATAACAAATAATTATCATATTAGAACAATAAAGTAACCGAAAAAACATCGAATTCAAGCGAAATTCCAAGTCATTTGAATCAAAAGTAGCTTAACAACAAGCCTACAAGGTTGCTCCCTCCCACCACCCAGAACTCTGAACTTTCAGAAGTTCTTCAATTGTTCGACAGCTACTGTCTCATAAGTAACAAAGAAAAAACAACTCAAAGGCAATAAGCCACAAACCATTGTTCAAACTTCTAATTTGTAACAAAACTACTGAACCATAACTAATGATCCGAACAAACTAGATGCTACTAAAACATAAACATTGGTAGATTCTAGCATTCCAATATCCCGCACCAGCAAGGTAGCAACCATATTGAAGAACAAAACCAAAACATCACATTCATTCACTGCAATAAAACAAAAGGATGGAAGAACATGAGGGAACAGATACAAGCTTACAACAAAGGAGACAAGTTAGTTAGAAAATATTCTATACCTTCTCTTATAATGTTTCAATACTCAGTCATCAAAGGAGAATGGGGAATCCATATTCATACGTTCCTGGACTGCAATCAATGTAAAAAAACTCTATTTAGTTATGCAGTTCATAACTTACCATCTGGAATCTAAAAACCAACTAACTTACCCCCATTTTCTTGATCTTTGACACTTGAATCATGAATTGACAGCACAGTAAATAGTCCATCCATTGCCTCCACAGCAGTAGCAGCCTCTGATTCTGCAGAAATAAAGCTAACTCAATTGTTAAAATGAACCAAAAGTTACTATCAAAGTCAGCACTCTCGGAAGCGACTGATGTTATTGGTGTAGCCAAAAAGTCCCTTGCAATTGCTTGCAAGGTAGGATACTTAAGGCCATTCAATTTCCACCACATCAGGAGATCAAAGTCAGCAGATCGATCTTGAGGAATAAGTTCATCAACAAGAAAATGGTCCAACTTAGTAGTAACCAGAGTTGTTTTGCTCATTTTCCTCTGACTTACAAACAACTCGAAATCAAGATCAGTGGCAGAAACATAGGCAATTCCAACCGATTCATTTGCATAACCAGATTTCTCTTCAGCATTGGTTTGATAATCAGTAATCAAATCACAAATCATTTGTTTTATATCCTCAGGCACCAAGTAAGTATCAGTGCTGCCAAACTTAGCAACGAAATACTCAATCACATGCATCTTGTATCTATGATCCAGCTACTGAAACTGCCAGAACCAAATGTATATCATCCCAATACGTTGTGAATTTCAACCACATATTTCCAGCCATGGCAGAAATCACAGGATCAAGATAAGCACACAACTCAATCAATTTCAATCGCAGATCACAAACCGTATGGAAAAACATATTGGCAGTGGGGTACTTGGGGGAGCAAATCTGGTGAGTAACCTTGTGGTGAGTAACCCCATGCATAACTCAATAAGAATCTACCACATCAGCGCCTCCTTCGCTCACCTGAAAAAATAATTAATTTTCTTTCTCTTAATCTTTAACGAACGATTTCTCACTCGTTTTAACTCGGAATTTAATTTTTTTTGCACAGTTAGATCAGATTAATTGTGCTCTTCAAAATGATATCCACTTTGATATTTTTTGGAACAAAATTTTTTTTCCAGTTATTACCTGTCAATACCATATGGTATAGTCAATACCATATTGACTGGTATTAAATAACAACATACCATATGGTATGAAAAATACCACCTCATACTAGGGTGGTATAGTATGGTATGGAGTTGGTAACGATTCAAAATGATATCCACTTTGATATTTTTTGGAACAAAAAAAATTTGCCAGTTATTACCAGTCAATACCATATGGTATTTACTAGTATTAAATAACAGCATACCATATGGTATGAAAAATACCACCTCATACCAGGGTGGTATAGTATGGTATGAAGTTGGTAACGAGAGGTATAGAATTTTTCCCCCCAGAAAATTTTGAAATC